AAAGCCCTAGGGTCAAAATTGGCCCCGCCCCAGGGGGTCATTGATTTTCCCTATATGCATATAGTAAAAACTTAAAAAATCTTCTTTTAAAGAACTCAAAGAGCTAGAGCTAAGATATTTAGCATGAAACATGTTCTAATAGGTGTCTACCAAGTTTGTTCAAATAAAAGCCCTGGGGTCAAAATTGGCCCCGCCCCGGGGGTCATTGATTTTCCTTATATGTGTATAGCAAAAACTTAAAAAATCTTCTTTAAAAAAACCCAAATAGCTGGAGTTTAGCTATTAAGCATGAAACATCTTCTAGTGAGTGTCTACAAAGTTTGTTCAAATAAAAGCCCTAGGGTCAAAATTGGCCCCGCCCCAGGGTGTCTTTGATTTTCCCTATATGCATATAGTTAAAACTTAAAAAATCTTCTTTTAAAGAACCCAAAGAGCTAGAGCTAAGATATTTAGCATGAAACATCTTCTAATGAGTGTCTACAAAGTTTGTTCAAATAAAAGCCCTAGGGTCAAAATTGGCCCCGCCCCCGGGGGTCATTGATTTTCCCTATATGCATATAGTAAAAACTTAAAAAATCTTCTTTTAAAGAACTCAAAGAGCTAGAGCTAAGATATTTAGCATGAAACATGTTCTCATGGGTGTCTACCAAGTTTGTTCAAATAAAAGCCCTGGGGTCAAAATTGGCCCCGCCCCGGGGGTCATTCATTAGCTTGACTTTTTTTTTTTTAAGATATATATATGACGTCGTCGCATAGTAACGACGACGTTTTTGTGTACACATGTGTACGCATAATCTAAAAATAGTAAAGACGTCACATTTGCCCTGATGATCATAAGAGAAACCGGTTGGCAAATAATTAAATAAGTTAACTCATGGACTGTGTTTTTTGTTTTATTTATATGTGACTTTTTTCCGGCACTTGTTTTCATTTTTTGTATATATATATATATATATATACATGCATACATATACAACCAAGTTTGTTCAAATAAAAGCCCTGGGGTTAAAACTGGCCCCGCTCCAGGGGCCTATATACAGGTGAGCGACTTTGGGCCATCATGGCCCTCTTGTTTCTTTTCTCGCTATAGATCTATATAATATAACAAGGAATACAACTCAAAATTGCTCAATTCACGAAAAAGTTAAAAGAACTCGATATGTGACGCTCTTTTTTCTTTTGACTGTTGGACATTAATGAAATAATCAATAATTTAAAAAAAAATGCCTCACTTTGATATATGGACAAGATAATGCCCAATACCCACAAATAACCTTTCTTGTTTCATTTTTACAAGCGTTCTTAAAATTTCTGCTTGTAAAATTACACTTGTAAATAAGGCTCCCACATTTACAATTTTTTGTAAACTTTCAGGATGGTCCCCTATGGTACCACTGTTCTTATTATTTTCAGCAAACTGTACACATAAAAAGAACTTGTATTTACTATTTTAATAAATTGTGTTTAACTGTCGAATCTTGCCTTTAAAATACACCTGTCATTTATAGAATAACTCCATTATTTAAATTAGAAACCTCTATGGTCATTCAGCCATGTTTTGAATGGCAGCTTAAACAGAGAGCACTATGGTACCGTGGTATGTAAATTGATGGCCCTTTTTGGCTTCAGTAGAATTTTTTCAATAAAATGTGATGTCACTGCAGTTTCAGCAGACGACCTTCATTTGTCAGAACATGAAATTATCAGTTTAACCGATAAATGTGGGGTAAAATAAATAAGTATTTCCAACACACTCGAGTAGTTTTGGATTTTCCTATCAATGACATAAATTTATTTGAAATGAAAATATTTCTAACAATTTTTATCCAAATTCAAAAAAGCAGCACTTCTACTCTCGCTTTAATGGCGGAAACATTCGATTGGTCCCGTTCAGTGTGTAAAGAAACACATTTTCTGATTGCACCAGAATTGGCAAGGACGCGGTACCACGGGGAGTACTATACACGATTGCTAAGAACGGAAACGATACCGTTAAATGGTGGTACTTATTTGTACTATACTACACCATGTATTCAAGTCTCCAAATGATGACTTACTTTTTATTTACAAATAATTTAATGTTCAGGGCTCATCATGATTGAGTCCACACACATTTTCTGCATTGTATCCTCATTTCCCTCTTGAAAGATCAAAGGAAAATCAACTTTTTCAATTTACAGTAGAACTTCGGTAAGTCGAAGCTGAAGGGAGTTGCATAAAAACTTCGACACATCGGGACTTCGACTCATGAATCGCTCTCAATTCCATGACAAAATTTCGACCCGTGACTAGTCTATAACGAAACCTATTTCATGTTTTTTCCATCATTAATCTGATATTCACATCTTACAATGATAAATATAGCATGTTAAATAAAGTTTTTCACTGCTTATTATTTGGACTACCCATTGACGTATACAATAGGGTTACAAAAGGTGTAACATTACAAAAGGTCGATAACTTAACCAACTTATAGTATATATTTCGCGTGTTATTCTCACGCGACACCGGGTCAAGGATGTAATCAAATGAAAGTAGTTCTTACTGTTTACTTTCAAATACCACTACGGCAATTAAAATAGTAACGATTAAAGCATTTTATCACACAATTTATCGTAAACAAAGGCTTGTACACACGGCTGTGTAATTAACACCTGTCACACAAGATGATTGGAAATCGTCTTCGCAGCCAGATAAGGTGTGAAAAATGTCTCGAGATCGACGGTGTCAAAATAATCGAACAACTTCGACTTACTTGTGGTAAATTGCACTAGATTTACTTAACACGGACCACAAAAAAACTTCGACACATCGAAAAATTCGACACATAAAATCTCGACTCATAAATAGGTTTTTATAAGGAATATGCATGTATAAGGGGAAAAGTCGGGACTTTAATTTTTCTTCGACACATCGAGAAAATCGACTAATCGAAGTTCGACTCATAGAAGTTCTACTGTATTATGTCACGATTAGTGCACAGTAATGCTGTGTGGAGGGTAACAAATGTAAATACCTATTTTCCGTTTGGAATAAACCAATTACAATTGATAGAATTCATGATTACAGGCAATGATTAAGATATTTTGTAAGACAATATGGTCATTTCGATTAAACGGTAAAAATTGTCGTCAACGTTTTCGACTGAAAATCGAAACGAATTCGTTTAAACGTGTAACCGTGGGGGCCTTACTTGTAAATGATATATTATGCAAATGAATGCTCATATGAGAAAGTTTAATCATGTAATTGGTCAAATATCAAACACCCACCACCATCAACAATGCAATCATTAACAGCTGGTACAATTATTCAAAAAAAGTTTGTTTGTTTTGATGATTTCTGTCATCAGCTTCCATTTAGAATGTGGCCTGTATGTGCCATGCGTAAACCCAACTTCTATTAGAAACTGTCATTTACATTAACATTAGTTAATAATAATAATAATCCGTCTTATAGCAGTGCTGAATAGCGTTTTTTCATGAGCCAATGAAAATACTCGCAACATAAATGCACCTGCATAATGTTAGTTATTTCCTGTGATGTTATAGGTTTTAATAGAACTTGGGTAATGACAGGTTCATATATATTAATTTCTACAATAACTTTGATGGAATGGAGGATATTTTAATATAGTTTGCATGTGTGACTGTGAATGCCTTTTACGAACCCAAACTGATGACGAGAAGCCACGACTTGTATCCCTTGTTTATATTATATATTTAGAGATTTTTTTATGAAATAAGGACAGATTCTCATCAGAAATTATGACCAAAATTTATAAATGTTTCTGATGTCAAATTAATCATTCATTAGAGTCTGTGTTTGAAAGACATGATGCCGACTTGCAAGAGACTGAGTCTCATAACCAAAATGAGTGTTGTGAGATTGCAGGTGCCTTGGTGGCTCACTAATGATTTGTTTATTAATAGTAAGTGCATTGATTGCTTTGACTTTAACAGACAAGACAATTAAATCTTGAAATAGACTGTATAATGCTTTTATAATGCAATAATACATTGAATTGTTGGACTGAATTTATATTAATTATAGTGATTGGCCCCATTGTGATTTGCCCCATAACGACTCACCACATGTTATTCTTTAGTGACAATTTGCACCAGATAAGTGACAATTAGCCCCACTTCAAAATAATTTTTTAAAATGTAATTTAAATCATTAACATTATAAAATGGTTAAATTAAATCAATAAATGTATGTTTGTGTATATTTGTGAAATAAAATGTTCTCTTTATTTATAAATAGTCATTTTAACTGATAAGTTATCAATACTTTAATACACCCATAAACAGTTTTGATAAGTAATACATAAATAACCTAGGTATATCTAGTAAAAAATACGAGTTTTTTCCTTCATCTTTGAGTGAAACAGATATCTCTTAAGCTAAAACAACACAAATTAAGCGTTTTAAACCGCTCGTTTGTTGTAATTTAATGTTCGATTTTGTAATTTAATGTTCGATTTCAAAATTTATTACACCAATGAAAAGCTTTGGATCTTAGCTTCGTAACAATATACACTTCAACACAACTTTTGACACCAAAATATTCAAATTAACTGTTAAAACTACCATATGTCAGACCTTTTTGCATATGATTTATACAGTGAGATTTGCAACTGGTTATCTTTACTCGAAAAAATACTGAAGAATAGCCCGTTGTCTGCTAGTCCGAAAACTTTTTATCAGTGTATTGATAACGATTCGCCACAGTTCACTTATACTACCGCCTACTTAATAGGAATCATTGCACCATATTCTAAATTATTGTACCTTCCTTCAAGATTGTTTAAGTTAATATGTATTCTTTGTATTTGCTAAAAAATAAAGGTCAGTTTTGCCATCAGGAGGTATACACTGAAATACTACATCTTCTTTATTTTAAGGCATTAAATTACTTTATCAATATAACTTTCTAGCTTTAGGAAATGACACTAATGATTCTTCTTTTAAGTTATGTCATTGAAACTTTTATTTTAGATCAGACTCTGAGTCAGAAGATTATGAGGACAGGGGCTCAAGATCAAAGCAAAGGAAGGCGCATTATAGGTTTTTAAACTCCATTTTCCACATTAACATTTATTTCATTAAGTTTTTCTGTGGAATGTTATACTTCTTTGATGTCAATGTTATCTTTTAAAAAATGCCAAATTGGGCAAGTTACCATTAATAATGTGACAGTTTTATAGATGATATTGTTATTAATAGGAAGGTATCACACATGATTTTACAAATTGAAGAATACAAAAGAAAAAAAAGATTCATTGACCAAATGTATGCTATTATAGGAAAACTAAAGTCAATGAAAAAAAATCAAACAAATTTAAGTGACAAGTTACATTGTAATAATCAAGTAACAAATTATTTACTTTCTGTAAAACTATAAGGAAACCATATTTTTATTTATGAATCAGAAAAGTTTGAGAGCCATATGACTGTTAAATACTTATATACAATGTAGTAGCTCTTGTTCGTTCTTTTATTAGGTCAGATTCATCACATGATTCAAACAGATCTTCACATAAAAGGAAAAAAAGGTAATTAGTTCATTAAAGCATATGAATTTATTTAAATATATATAGTTTTTAGCTCACCTGAGCATATGCTCAGGGTGAGCTATTAGGATCACTCTTCGTCCGTCGTACGTCGTCCGTCTTACGTTCACACTTTTCAAACGACATCTCCTCTGAAACCATAAGGCAGATCATAATGAAACTTCACAGAGATGTTCCTTGTGTGAAGCCTTAACAAAGTTGTTCAAAGAATTCCATTCCATGCAGAACTCTGGTTGCCTTGGCAACCAAAAGAAAAAACTTTAAACATCTTCTTCTAGAAAACCCAAAGAGCTAGAGCTTAGATAATTGGCATGAAACATCTTCTAGTGAGTGTCTACCAAGATTGTTCAAATAAAAGCCCTGGGGTCAAAATTGGCCCCGCCCCTGGGGGTCATTGATTTTCCCTATATGCATATACTAAAAACTTAAAAAAATTTCTTTTAAAGAACCCAAAGAGCTAGAACTAAGACATTTAGCATGAAACATCTTCTAATCGGTGTCTACCAAGATTGTTCAAATAAAAGCCCTGGGGTCAAAATTGGCCCCGCCCCAGGGGGTCATTGATTTTCCCTATATGCATATAGTAAAAACTTAAAAAAATCTTCTTTTAAAGAACCCAAAGAGCTAGACCTAAGATATTAAGCATGAAACATCTTCTAATGAGTGTCTACCAAGATTGTTCAAATAAAAGCCCTGGGGTCAAAATTGGCCCCGTCCCAGGGGGTCATTGATTTTCCTTATATGCATATAGTAAAAACTTAAAAAAATCTTCTTCTAAAAAATCAGAAAGAGCTAGAGTTTAGATATTTGGCATTTAATATGTTCTAATGGATGTCTACCAAGTTTGTTCAAATGAAAGCCCTGGGGTCAAAATTGGCCCCGCCCCAGGGGGTCATTGATTTTCCCTATATGCATATAGTAAAAACTTAAAAAGATCTTTTTTTAAAGAACCAAAAGAGCTAGACCTAAGATATTAAGCATGAAACATCTTCTAATAAGTGTCTACCAAGATTGTTCAAATAAAAGCCCTGGGGTCAAAATTGGCCCCGCCCCAGGGGGTCATTGATTTTTCCTATATGCATATAGTAAAAACTTAAAAAAAATCTTCTTTTAAAGAACCCAAAGAGCTAGACCTAAGATATTAAGCATGAAACATCTTCTAATAAGTGTCTACCAAGTTTGTTCAAATAAAAGCCCTGGGGTCAAAATTGGCCCAGCCCCAGGGGGTCATTGATTTTCCCTATGTGCATATAGTAAAAACTCAAAAAAATCTTCTCTTAAAGAACCCAAAGAGCTAGAGCTAAGATATTAAGCATGAAACATTTTCTTATCAGTGTCTACCAAGTTTGTTCAAATAAAAGCCCTGGGGTCAAAATTGGCCCCGCCCCAGGGGGTCATTGATTTTCCCTATATGCATATAGTAAAAACTTAAAAAAAATTCTTTTAAAGAACCCAAAGAGCTAGAGCTAAGATATTTAGCATGAAACATATTCTAATGGGTGTCTACCAAATTTGTTCAAATAAAAGCCCTGGGGTCAAAATTGGCCCTGTCCCAGGGGTTATTGATTTTCTATATACATAGAGTAAAAAGTTAAAAATCTTCTATTAAAGAACCAAAAGAGCTAGAGCTAAGATATTTAGCATGAAACATGTTCTAATGGATGTTTACCAAGTTTGTTCAAATAAAAGCCCTTGGGTCAAAATTGGCCCTGCCAGGGAGAGGGGGGAGGGGGCAAAAGTCATTGTTATTCATTATTTGTGTATAGTAAATCATGAAATATCTTTTAATGGGTGTCTTCCAAGTTTGTTCAAATAAAAGCCCTTTGGTTTAAACTGGCCGGCCCTGGGGGCCTATGTTCAGGTGAGCGACCCCAGGGCCATCATGGCCCTCTTGTTTTTTGTTGTTAGCTCACCTGTCACAAAGTCACAGGGTGATCTTTTGTAATCGCTTTTCGTCCGGCGTCTGTCTGTTGTTCGTCCGTAAACTTTTACTTTAAATGATATCTCCTCATAAACCACTTAGCCAATTTCATCCAAACTTCACAGGAATGTTCCTTTGGTGGTCACCTTTAAAAATTGTTCAAAGAATTTAATTCCATGCAGAACTCTGGTTGCCATGGCAACCAAAAGAAAAAACTTTAAATATCTTCTTTTAAAAAACCCTAAGAGCTAGAGCTTAGATATTTGGCATGAAACATCTTCTAGTGAGTGTCTACCAAGTTTGTTCAAATAAAAGCCCTGGGGTCAAAATTGGCCCCGCCCCAGGGGGTCATTGATTTTTCCTATATGCATATAGTAAAAACTTAAAAAATCTTCTTTTAAAGAACCCAAAGTGCTAGAGCTAAGATATTTAGCATGAAACATGTTCTAATGGATGTTTACCAAGTTTGTTCAAATAAAAGCCCTTGGGTCAAAATTGGCCCTGCCAGGGAGAGGGGGGAGGGGGCAAAAGTCATTGTTATTCATTATTTGTGTATAGTAAATCATGAAATATCTTTTAATGGGTGTCTTCCAAGTTTGTTCAAATAAAAGCCCTTTGGTTTAAACTGGCCCGGCCCTGGGGGCCTATGTTCAGGTGAGCGACCCCAGGGCCATCATGGCCCTCTTGTTTTTTGTTGTTAGCTCACCTGTCACAAAGTCACAGGGTGATCTTTTGTAATCGCTTTTCGTCCGGCGTCTGTCTGTTGTTCGTCCGTAAACTTTTACTTTAAATGATATCTCCTCATAAACCACTTAGCCAATTTCATCCAAACTTCACAGGAATGTTCCTTTGGTGGTCACCTTTAAAAATTGTTCAAAGAATTTAATTCCATGCAGAACTCTGGTTGCCATGGCAACCAAAAGAAAAAACTTTAAATATCTTCTTTTAAAAAACCCTAAGAGCTAGAGCTTAGATATTTGGCATGAAACATCTTCTAGTGAGTGTCTACCAAGTTTGTTCAAATAAAAGCCCTGGGGTCAAAATTGGCCCCGCCCCAGGGGGTCATTGATTTTTCCTATATGCATATAGTAAAAACTTAAAAAATCTTCTTTTAAAGAACCCAAAGTGCTAGAGCTAAGATATTTAGCATGAAACATCTTCTAATGAGTGTCTACAAAGTTTGTTCAAATAAAAGCCATGGGGTCAAAATTGGCCCCGCCCCAGGGGGTCATTGATTTTCCCTTTATGCATATGGTAAAAACTTAAAAAATCTTCTTTTAAAGAATCCAAAGAGCTAGAGCTTAGATATTTGGCATAAAAACATCTTCTAGTGAGTGTCTACCAAGTTTGTTCTAATAAAAGCCATGGGGTCAAAATTGGCCCCGCCCCAGGGGGTCATTGATTTTCCCTATATGCATATAGTAAAAACTTAATAAATCTTCTTTTAAAGAACCCAAAGAGCTAGAGCTTAGATATTTAGCATGAAACATCTTCTAATGGGTGTCTACCAAGTTTGTGCAAATAAAAGCCCTGAGGTCAAAATTGGCCCCGCCCCGGGGGTCATTGATTTTCCTTATATGTGTATAGCAAAAACTTAAAAATCTTCTTTGAAAAAACCCAAATAGCTAGAGTTTAGATATTAAGCATGAAACATCTTCTAGTAAGTGTCTACAAAGTTTGTTCAAATAAAAGCCATGGGGTCAAAACTGACCCTGCCCAGGGGTGTCATTGTTTTTAACTATATGTGTATAGTAAAACCTTAAAAAATCTTCTTTTAAAAAACCCAATGAACTAGAGCTTAGATGTTTAGCATGAAACAGCTTCTTATGGGTGTCTACCACGTTTGTTCAAATAAAAGCTTTTGGGTTAAAATTAGCCCTGCTGGGGGGGGGGAGAGGGGGGATGGGGGTGCAGGGGGAGGGGCAGGGTGCCTATATACAGGTGAGCGACCTCAGGGCCATCATGGCCTCTTGTTTTTTTTTTTTTTTTTTTTTTGAGACATATTGTACAATTTTTTTATAATATATTTATATATAGATAATTTTTTTTAAAAAGTCAATGCCACAGTAGATATTATCAGGTTAAATTTACCTCATTCAGGCTTTTTTTCTCTTGATAAACCATAGGCAACCTTATAAATGATAGCATACATGTCAATTTTTTATATTTAATCATTTAAGGAATGACCTGTCAGAAAGAGGAAGTTCATCACCATCAAGGGATAGAAAGAGAAAGAAAGATAAGAAGAAAAAGAAACAAAGGTCAAGGTCACCTTTAGAGAGAAAGAAGAAGCAATATGATAGTGATAGTGATTCATCAGATACAGATGATAGATACCACAGAAAACAATCCAAATCATCACGATTAAATCACGAAGACGATGATAAAATGCAGGAAGAAATGAGGTTTGCTATTTGATTCTCAACAAAATTTACAAAGGTTTTTTTATCAAAATTAAACATGTGGTTTCTCTTTGTCCTCCATTACCTCTAGTTTAAAATTAAATTTTGAAGAATGTCAAAGAAGGCCCTCTTCTATGTATGTATGATTTTTAGTGAAAAGGTATATTTTTTTATGTACCCCACATTCTTGTATAGCATGATTAATAGTTTAGTTTCTGTCATTAAAAGTTTTTCTTGACTTTCTTTGCATTCTGTGATTGAAATGAGATTAAACTTGTCAGAATTCATCAATGTAAAGTTGTGTATAGCATTGTATATCTTCTATATCATTGTTCAGAGATTTTTCATGGAGTACATTTGTTAGAACTCATCTTAAATTAAAACCTGTTTTAAATAGAGTTATGGTACTTTGTTTGTGAAATGATGGCAATATGGAGAATTGCAGATTATACAAATTGTTTATGTTTATGTCATTTACAAAAGTAGTCAAAATAAGGCATGTAAAGATAGATTGTGTAATTGGCAAAGAAATATGCAAGTTAAAATAATTTATGGAACTGTGAACATGAAAGCAACAATATAAAGGCCATGAACATTATTCAGGTTAGATTATTTTATTTTTTGTTATAGTTGAAATATTAGTTAAAATAGACTCTTAATAACTGGTTGGTATATAAAAATATGTTTATTTTTTAAATGGTATAGTAATGCATGTTTTGTAGGAGAAGAAAAGAAATAATAAAAGCCACAGAGACACCTGAAGAGAAAAGAGCTCGAAGACTTGCCAAAAAGGTACACATTTAAATATTTGATAAGCATGGACGATCAACAGTTATTATATATGTAGTTCATCATATAACAGTTTATTCTCTTGTTTGAATTACAGGATATTAAATGTAACTATGATACTTATACATGTATATCTGAGCAGTTAATCAAATGACTGAATAACAAAAGTTGTAGAAGTAACTGAACAATAATTTTGTATCCATGCTTTGAATGTTATTAAAAGCCAAATTTGTCTGGTTTGATTATGTCCATATCAAGAAAATGCATTGTGCAACTCAAGAAATTGCTTTTGTTTTTAAATAATTAGATAACCAAAATATTAAACTGGAAATCAGTCCAACAATTAATGGAATACAGTGGTACTGATGTAACTTGTACAGCAATATCTACATTAGATATAGATTGATGTTACAATAATTGACAAATAGTATTATATGTAAATCAAATTATAGTTACAACTGTTATAGGAAAGTAAAGAGAGGAAAAGACGAGAAAAGATGGGCTGGGACCAGGAGTATATGGTATGATCTCAATCTATCTTGTTGTTCTAGTCAAACATTTACATACTCGACTTTTCTATTTTTGACTTTTTATCATACTTAAATGAATATAAAAGTTTTAAAACATGACCAATATCTATGAAAATTTATATAAAACATGCGTTTACATTGATATTATTTGTAATAAATATTTCTGACAGATTGACTCAAAATAAATGGTAATAAGCTTATAATAGCTTGGGTTATATTTTTCAAACAAGTATTTATACACAGTGATATAACATTTCAGACATATTTATAACAAATTAATAATACAGCAGAATAACTTTATATAAGGACAAATGAAAATTACTATTTCACAATTTTACAACAGCTGTGTACATTGTAACATAGATCAGATATCACATGAAAATGCAATGTTACAATTGTGTAGTGTTATAAACATGTAACATATAAATAGAGCTGTAGATATATAAAAACATTTTTAGCATTATATGGGAGACAGTGCAGAAATGTCAATACAGAGACCACGTGGTCTAGATTACAAAATTCTTCAAGCTAAGCTCCAAAATCGGATAGTAAATGCGCCAATGAAATCTGTTTACTATCAACCAATCATATCTTGTCCTTAATTAGCCATACAAATCACACCATTTTTCGGCCAATCAAAATTTACCTACTAAACGTGGTTCGGCGCTATCTGTCAAAATCGTTTCTGCATTGTTCTCCCTACGTAAAGTATTTGCATTAAATGATGGCCAATTTGTAAAAAACTGTATTCTCAGACGTGTTGCCAAGGTTTATATTTAAAAACCTTCTCTTGTATTAAATAAAGCTTAATAAAAACTAAGATCTACAAATTTAACTGTGTTGGTCTGTTATAGAAGGCGTACGCGTATAAGCGTCTTCCCCCCTTTTAATACTTGTTTTAACATTATAAATATGATTTGGAATAAATGAAGCTATCATTAAACATAACTATTAGGGGGGTTTTTTTTGTTCCCTATATAGAAGACGTCCGTGTATAAGCGTCTTCCCCCCTTTTTAATTTAAGTTTAAATTTTAAATACAGCTTTTTAATCTTAGTGTGGGATGTAATCCCACCGTTTTCCGGTTCCATTCAGTGCAATTAATTTGCATTGTTGGGGCAGGAAATATTGTACTCACTAGTCACATATGCAGATATTAACTAAATAAAGTGTTTTCCCTTTAATAAATGAAGCATATGCTCGCCCATATGGTTTTTAACCGGTGGCGAGGGTAAATAAACTCAACACACACACATAAAAACATCACCAATTTGCATGAGGAAGTCATGATGTTTATATAACCTTAATACAGAACTGCTAATAATTTATAATTCAAAAGTAATTTACTTGTTTCCTCAAATGAATTTTGATGTTATATAAATTTGATAGATTTGTGACAGGTAATAAAGGCCACTATTAAAGATGGTTTTCAAGATTACAATAACAAAAAATTATATAAGCTGGTTATATAAGCTTACAAACATTTATACTGGGCCATATAACCTGTCAGTAAGGTCATTACATTTACAAACATATACATTGTGATTTTCATTCTTAATGTTTACAATTCTTCTAGCCATTTATACGAAATGACATTGTTTACTTATCAGTATATCCTAAAAATTACTTGTAACAACAAATTTCATTAATTCTTACTGTGTTATGTCCACTTAAAACTGGATGAGAAAGAGTGTTCAAGACTATCAATAATCATAGCTTAAGATTTTTGATAGCTGTGAAAACTATTGAGCACACTGTCTTTTAGTTGGATTTAAAAAGATCAAAAAAAGTATGTACAGATTGCCTCTTCTTCTTTAAATTAAATGTTTACTTCACAAACACAAGCAATGCATATAACCCTTTGAAATAAAATTGTGTACACAAATAAACATGTCTTTGACAAACAGTGTTGGCATACTCTATGTAAGCAATGCTTTTAAGATGGTCAGTAGCCCCGCCTATGGACAGTCATAATTGTCCTTTTTGCAGAACCCTTCATTAATTGCTCAGGATTTAATACTTTTTGGCAAAGTTGTCCTTTCTGTCATCTTGGAAAAGGGTGAAATGGGGATACAAAGCAGAAAATTTGTCTGAACTCCCTTACAGTAAGCCCTGTATAATATTTTTATTTGTACATAAATTAAAAATGGACAGGGTGCATGTAAGTAGCCATATTGCCGACTTGAATACAGGGTATAGTCAAGCAGAGTACAACTGTTTAATGGTGTTGTTTCAGTTTGAATCAATCAAATAAATGTTAACAAAAAATTGTACTGGTCTGTAAATAATTACCTGTCAGACATCTTTTTATATCAATAACTTACAGGGTTATATCAAATGTGTATTTACAGGGATATACTAATGTAGATAACCCATTTGGAGATGAACATTTAACAGAAACATTTGTATGGTCAAAGAAGATTTCAAAGGAAGGTAAAGAGGCATTAGCTCATGAAGAAATTCATCAGATGACCAAAAAGAAAATGGAAGAAAATAGGGTTTGTTTTGTAACAGTTTATTATTTAGATGGAATTAATTTTATTTCTCTGTAATTTATATTCTATCTTATGTTTTTAAAAGAGATTGAACAAAGATATTCAGGTCAAGACACACTGACAATTATTTTTCAGCACTTCTGTCTGAAATGTGCACTGTCCAAGTGGCGGCATTGTGGAGTGGTTAACGCGTCAGACTAGTAATCTAATGATCGCTAGCCGCATGGGTTCAAACCCCGTCAGGGGCAAGTCGTTGTTTCCTTGAGCAAGAAACTTTACACTCATTGCTCAGTACTGGTTGGTTTCAGGAACAGATTCGAAAGTGTGTCTATAAGCTTATAGCTTCCTACACAATCCGACTAAAATAAATTCTGTGTAAACCAAATCTGCACTGTCCGAAATTTGGATAGAATACATTTCTTAAAGAAAATCAGAACATGGTATTAAAATTAAATCGAATCTTATTGACCAGTCTGAAGCCTGATGTGAAACAATAGGCATTAAACAAGAACTCTTGCAAGATATTTATGCAGTAAAAAACAATAATACACAAAATACAACAATAAATTGAATTCACCTGAACATTATAAAAGGTGTCTTTTATTTATTGTTCAACACAAGTTTGCGATCACAGGTATCTCATTAATAATAAAATGAAGCACCCTGCCACTCTCAACTGATACTAATATTTTTCTTGGCACTTTTGTGGGTCGACAACATACTAATATACATAGCCTGATATAATATTTATAAAGCCATGTTTGATGTTTGTACCAGGAAGCATTAAATCTTGCAGGTCACATGACTTACGTACCCTATACACTTATAATCATAAATAAATGAATAATAAATGTATCTATATAGGGAATACATGTTACCAAGTATTCAATTATTTAAGTATAGCTATAAAATTAATTTTATTCTTTGATATTTTGTGAAATATTATTGTTACAGATACCTGGTTGCTATGGCAGCAACAGGAAACTAGTGTTAAGTCAGTTAATTGCAAATTTCATAAGTGTTTTTCTATAGATGGAACCTAATTTAAATTTGATTGAGTGTAAGTCACTAAGTTAAAAAATAGATAACTTACTGTTCATCATACAGCATCATTATTTGTTACAGATGTTTAGTATGTACATAAAATTAAAATTTTAGATTGAACTTGAGAAAGTCAAGAAAAGAAGACTGGAGAGAGAGAAAGAAAGAGAAGAAAGGGAAAATGAAAGGGTAAATATGGATTAGTTAATTCTAGAAATTACTAATTGTGCAAAATGAATTAAAGAAAAAAAAACATTCAAACTTAAATCAGAATAAGAATCACATAAAAAAACAATTTTCAATTTAATTTCCAGTATATTTCTTTATTATTGTTCACAAATTTTTCAGTTATTATAAGTGCCCCAGTTGATCAATACAAGAATTTTCAATTTAACGTTTTTTAAGGACTTTGGATCTCGGCTTTAATGTATTGCTATTTTATCCTACATACCCTCCAGTGTTAATAATATAGTACAACATGTATATACATGTTTATATATTTACAGGAAATGTTACAGCGTGAAAAAGAAGCAGAGTATTATAGAGAATGGGAGAAATCTGAAGATACTGTAAGATATATCTTTTTGTGTTATCTTAGTTCAAAACTTTTTTTTGTGTTATCTTAGTTAATAGCACAAGGCAAGGTTATATCAACCATTAGCAATGTCCAAAACAATGATGTAAAACTAGCCTTCAGCACTAGTTTTGCATAATCTACATGTATATCTGCACAAATATTTCAAATAACATTTGTATCATGATAAAATATAAATGATTTTGGCTGTGGCAATTACATTTAGGCTAAGTTTTTTTGTGCAACTTAGTATCTCCAAAACTATGAAGGGGAATAGGTTGAAATATCACATACTTAATAGAGAGCTTAGCAGGAAGTCACTAAACTAGTACCATAATTATGGCCCTTTTTGAACTTTGAAAATTCTACACTATCCAGGCTCTTGTTTTACTATCAAGCACAGAGAATAGTCAAGCACTCTGTCCTACTGATAGCTCTTGTTTTTTATACTATTTAGAAAAGTGCACTTTTATGGTACGTAAAAATAGAATGGCTGTTGTCCCTGAACACCCACTTTTCATACAACAACCTTCTCTTGATTCAATTGAAAACTAGTTAATGTTTTACAGTTTTAGACATGCACAATGAACAAGTTCTGGTTGCCAAGAAATGAGAAAATTGAGTAAAAAGGGTATAAAACCTGCACTTTTTATTTCAGTTTCACTTACAACAAGCTAAGATGCGTTCAGAGATACGTATACAGGATGGACGTGCCAAACCTATAGATTTACTGGCTAAATATATAAGTGCGGAGGATGATGAACTGGCTGTAGAGATGCATGAACCATATACTTACCTTTATGTAATATTCTTAATAATGTGTGATTTAGTTGATGATATAGTTTTGCCACAAATCAACATTCTTAGTATTTACAGCTAGATTGTATTAGATTTGTTATAGATTTTACTGGAAGTCATTAGAAATACATTTGTGTGTGTGTTAATGTTCCCTATAGAGAATGATAGTTTGTGAAAAAAATATTTTGATCTGATTAAGTTATCAGTTATTTTACATGAAATGATGACAAATTGATGACATAGTGAACAAGTATTGTCCAACTGATGTACAGATCAAAAATGGTAGAATGTAAGGTAAAATTTGTTGAACATTTTTACCACTTTAAAGAAACTTTGTCTAAATTAATATTTTTGGACATGTATAGTGAATTGTGACATGTCTAATGAATTTCTGTCCTTGAACAAAAGTAGAAGAAAAAAATTGTTAGAGGATATTTTTATATTGAATTTCATCATAATCTGATACATTAAAATTGCAGGGGTTAACAATATCTGATCTGGAGGATTTACTGGAGGATATTAAAGTATACCTTGAATTAGAACAAGGAAAAAATACAGAATACTGGAGGGATATTGTCACTGTAACCCAAGATGAACTCATTAAACTCAGGAAGTTAGTTAGTTCTGGTGGTAAGTTATTATAATGCCTTACAGGATGTTTACATAGTTTAATTTTACAGATAATTTTACTTGTTTTCAATATTATAAAACCTGCGGCGGTTACACTGTTTTAATCTTACAAGACAACTCTTTGAAACATACAGTAGGCTGTAAATAACACTGGTGTAATTGTAGATGATAATTGTAGTCATGTGTCATGGCTGTTATATAATTGTAGATTATCGAGATCGTAGAGAGGGTGTTAACGAGGCAGTAAACGATGAGGTAGTATCCGTATTTAAAGGGAAAACAACGAAACAACTACAGCTGTTAGAAGACCAGATGAAAAAAAAACTGGAGGGTGGAGAGGGAGTTGATGTTGGTAAGTTGTTTAACTACTGGTAATGAAACGTAAGTGCAGCTATTTTCCTGCACTTAATCATACTTCTGTCCATTGATTCCAATACTTTGTGTTAAGTACATACTAGTAACTTAACTTTCTTAAGCTTGTGCTAGGGGCGGGAAGGTTGACAGGTATTGCACTTTTTATCGTCTCTGTCTAAGTCATAGTCACCTTTTAGTTTTATCATTGCACTCAAGGGGTCTTTTATTGATTAACCCTGAAAGCTAATATTTTTGTTCAATCTTTTAAGTAATTTTCTATTTGTAATAAATTGGCTTTTTATCCGTTGTTTTCCATTTGTGAGATGCTAAGAAGGAAGATTATATTGTAGTATATATGATAAACAGGTTATTGGGAGTCATTATTACAACAACTTAAAGCACACATGGCTAAAAAAGATTAAAGAGAGGATAAAGATTTTAAAAGGAGAAAACTTTAAAACAAAAAAAGAGGTTTTTTTAAATTTTAATATTATTACAGGTATTATATGTATTTATGAAAAATTAAGTTAATTTTTTTGTTGCGTTTATTTCTTTTAAAATTTTTATTAAAAAAACTAAATTATCACTTTTTGAATTAAATTTTTTCACTTCCAAAGGGGGCTATTGCATGATATTTAAAAATTTTTGTTTCAGTAGATTTATTGTTCACCCCAATTATTGGGTTAAAAACTGTCACTGGGCAACATTTTGGGAGTTTAGATTGATTAAAAATATAAGGATACACAAATGATATGAAGATGGAATTATTTATTGATGTTTTGTTTTAAAAAATTTTATACAAAAATTAGTGGCCCAATTTTCATACAATATAATTTGATAGTTACTTGCTTTATACATTTTTCACTATTATTTTGCTTAATAAAAACTTAAGTGTCTTTGTTATATTATGATTTATAACAAAAACATCAACTTGAATATCTAAAAAACTTTTTAAAAATTTGCCCCCAATTTTTAAATTATTTATTTTTCGTTTTAAAAAAATTGGTCTTTGTAGAAATTTTTGTAGGGTTGTTGTCTTTTTTATTATAAGATTTTTAAAAGGCCTAACAATGTTTTTTCCCATTTCCAACAATTTTGTACTCAGTAGTTTTTTTACTGAATGAATTTTTTTTATGTATGAAACCCTTAACCTGTTTTATTTATATTTTTGCCCTTGTGATTTTAGCAGTAAATTTATGATGAGTTTATTTTGTTTTTCAGAAAGGTACGAGTCCCCTTATTTCAGTGTATTGGCAGGGAAGGACCCCCTCTTTGGGTAATTCCCCCACCCCTGAAACCCAGTCGGCTCCAAAGTCAACAACCTCACGTCGGGGGAAAAATATGATAGCATTAAAAACGAAAAACCTGGTCCAAGCACTTCAAGGTACATAACTAAAATAATATTTAACATGATTTATTAATTGACAAAAAATCAACAGCATGTACAGTATTAGGCAAAATTTACTGCATTTGGCCCTTTTTTACACAAACATTTATAGCTAACCTAAATAACTAAAACATTTTTAGGGAACTGAAAACTAAAAAATTTTTAGGAACCTAAAAACAAAATTTTAAAAAACCTTTTTTAAAAAAAATTAGTTTTAATGAAAAAAAAAACATTTTGGTTGAATATTATGGAAAATTAATAAAAAATTTTTGGGGAACCCTTTAATAGGATGGAAATTTTTTTAAAATAAAAATAAAGAAAAAGGGGAAATTTTTTTCAATTTTTTTCCTTAAATTTTCACATTTTAAAAAAAATTGGTTTAATTTTTATGGATAAAAGAAATTTAAACCCAAAAAAAAACCCCACCCCAAAAAAAAATAAATTTTTTAAAAGAAAAATTTTTTTTGGTTTTTTGGGAATTAAAATTCCCCCTTTTAAAAAAGGAATTTTTTTTAAATGAAGGGTTTTTAAAATTAAAAGGCATTTTTAAAAATTTCTATTTTCCCCTTATGGGTTAAATTTTAAAAAATTATTTTAAAAAAATATTGGAAAAAAATTGCATTGTTTAAAAATTTTGTATAAAATTTAAAATTTGGTAAATTTTCAAAAAAAATTTTAAAAAAGTTTTTTAATAAATTTTTTTCGGGACTATATAAGGGGAGCAGTTTTAATAATTTTAAAAAAGGGTTTAAAAAAATAATTTTTTTAAATTAAAAACAGGTTTTCCGAGGGGGAAAAAGGGGAAATTTTTTTTTTTTTTGGGCCCTTTGGTCAACTACGAAAAATCTTCCCCTTTAAAAAAGAAAAAATTTTTTGGGTTTTGTAAATTTCAACTTTTAATTTTTTTTTTTTGAAAAAAATTTTTTTAAAATTTAGGAAGGTATATTTTTGGGGTAGTTGAAATTTTTTTTTGGGGTTAAAAAAGCAAAACTTTTTTTTTGGCAATTTTGGGAAAAATAATAAAAATTTTTTTAAAAAATTTTTTTTTTTTGTTAAATTTTTAAATTTTAAATTTTTTTTTTTATATGTTTTATAATCAAAATTTAGTTGATTGTTACATTTACTTCAATAGTGTATTGAAGGAAAACAGTGTGTACATCAGATATTTTTGACTCAGCATGTATATAATGCTTTGTTTATGTTGAAAACATACTGGTAATATTACGTTATAAATTTTTCAGGGATTTGAATGGAACAAGTACAATCAAACACATTATGATATTGATAATCCACCACCTAAGGTAGTTCAAGGATACAAGTTTAATGTAAGTACCTTAAAGCTACTTCCCTTCAGATCAGCATTCAAGTAAAAACAAATTATTTGGTAGAAACCATTTATACAGTTGTATTGTCTTAACCCATTTGAATGTTTTTGGCCATGTTTTCATTAAGAGAATAAGGACTCAGTTTGCACATTTTGACTTATAATAAGTGATTTGTGAGGAAAGTAAATACCTTTAAGATTAGCAATAATCACTTTATTTGTTGACATGACAATACATTTTGCATTTTCATGAGTTTATTTAAGTTATATTTTTAAAAATATTTTGTTTGTAAGATTGATCAGATTATGAGTCGATGGTTAACTTAGTTCTATGTTTACAGATATTTTACCCAGATCTCATAGACAAGTCAAAGACTCCAGAATATACAATTGTAAGTTGATAGATCTTAAATATTATTTAGTTTAAACAAATACAACTTTTTTAATTCAGTATTAAAATGTTAATACAATGTTATATAATGCCTATACAAATCTAAAATACAGTGTGAACAAAAACATAAAAAAAAACATGAAAATGCTATTTTTACAGTATAAATCAAACAGTTGACAGAAGGGATTGTTTTATGAGACATTCTTTTAATTTAAAGATTAAATTAGATTTTAAATAATATTAAATTTAAACATCAATATGTAGATGATATAAGCCAAAAACTGTCCAATATATAAAATATTTGATGTAAGCCAAAAACTGTCCAATATGTAAAATATTTGATGTAAGCCAAAAACTGTCCAATATGTAAAATATTGAATTTCATGAGGCACATTAAACATGTATTATATATTGTTGTTGTTGTTGTTGTTTCAGACACCTATCCCAGAGAATCCTGACTTTGGTATTTTAAGATTTCATGCAGGCCCTCCATATGAGGTATGTATGATCATAAATATGTTGGATAAAGGCAGATTAATTAAAGTTTGATAATGTTAAGTTCATAACTAAAGTACATTGTTTTGTTGCCAAAATAATTTAGCCACGTCACGACAAAACCAACATAATGCGTTTGCGACCAGCATGGATCCAGACCAGCCTGTGCATCCACGCAGTCTGATCAGGATCCATGCTGTTCGCTTACCAACTTTATACAAGTAGAGAAACTGATAGCGAACAGCATAGATCCTGATCAGACTGCGCGGATGCGCAGGCTGGTCTGGATCCATGCTGGTCGCAAACCCATTATGTTGGTTTTGTTGTGACGCGGCTCAATTTACATGTTTGGCAAACTGATTGACTCAAGAAGAGTAAGCTTTTCTTAAGATATACCATAGAGTATCTGTAGTTGATATATAGCAAGCAGACTGAATCACTTGCTACTTATAGCTGTGTAGTTCAATCAAGTCAGGGGACTTTGAGGTTTTCCAGGTTTGGAAGCTATCCATCTAGCTTACAGCAAATATGTGGTTCTACTTTGGTGCCTGCTGTTGTACTTGAGTGACACCTGAAATAATTCCTCTAATAATTGTCACGGAAAGTTGTCTTATAACCTTCATGTTGTGCCTGTAATTTTAAACCAAACTAAATATTTATGTTTTCCTGGCTATCTGAATTTCTATTAACTACTGGAGGGACAGATTAAAATTCTTAGCTGAACATATACATATATATAACTCAAGTTATGCAGCGTAAGGGATCAGTTATGACCACTTGCAGGTTACAAAAATAAATACTCCAAATTGAGGTTACATAAATTCAGGAATGATGATTTTATCAATGTTAACTGTTATAGAAGTCTATAAATAAAACGGTTTTATGCAAATATGTATCAGTATCAATATATTTCTGCTATTTTGAATATACAATTATATATTTACATATGTGTAAACTATTTATCTATGTATTAACACATAAACTGCTGAATTTCTTAAATGCACTGTTATTGCTGTCCCATTTTTTGGGATTGTCCATTATTATTTTAGGGAATAAAGAAATTTAAATTTAGTTAGCCAACATTATAGAGCCGGGTAAGACTTAAATATGAATACAGCAGATTGGTGGTTAAAGACTTTATTGTTTTGACAAATAAGTTACTGCATTTTTTAAAAACATTTTCTTGATATTGTATTTCAGGATATAGCATTCAAGATTGTCAACAAGGAATGGGAGCATTCATATAAAAGAAGTTTTAGATGTCAGTTTGCCAATAATATAATGCAGTTGTGGTTCCACTTTAAAAGAGAGAGATACAGAAGATAGCAACAATATATTTTGTTATTATTATTTTCTCATGCAAAAGAAATTAGTTATAGCATTTATAAATGCCAGTCTAAATGTGTTAAGTGCAGTGGTGACATTTCAATTCCCGGCCTCTTAAATGTAAAAAAAGCACCAAGAAATATGTGGACCTATTTTGTATATTTTGTATTTATAAAGATACACATAAAAAAAGATTGAATTGATGGAAAATAATTCATAAATAAAAAGAAAAATTGTAAATATGAATGTTTTGTGTCGTATTTTTTAATTTCTATTTCAGTCGAGTATGTCTTGTGCTCCTTTTTTGTGATTATATTGTAATCAACCTCTGTCACACATCTGTCATCATACGACAATTGATAAATCAACCAGTGTCATTCCTCGTCAACAATTTCTTAGGAAAATATTTTTTCTGAAACTAATCAGTTGTTAACCAAACTAAAACAGGAATGAACTTTAATTATTTACATTTTCTTGTGTTTGTTGAAATCTTGTTTAAACTGCATGGCTTAGAGTTTAGATATTTGGCATAAAGCACTGACTATAGAAAATATAGTATAATGATTGGCAAAAGTTTATTTGGTGAATATTTGTATACTTAATAGACATACAATTGCGGTTTCAACGATTTTCTGGTTTGCGGGAATTATACCATCATCGTTTGTACATTCTGCATGACTTGATCTCGGAAAAGTTATTTGTCTGTAGCCTGTCTGTTGTCATTTTTTCAGTTAAAAGTTTCTGACGATGTATATGTTTTTGTCAATAAAATATTAGACTTGACATTTGAAACCACTTTAACAAATTTCATGAATCTTGCTACATGTACTGTGATGTTCCTTGAAAGGCATCTTTACCTTTAAATTTGGCAAGTAGCGTTAATAAAAGGTCGTCTAAAAATGTATTGTCCTCAGTTGTTTTTCCTCTATACAACTTGTAAAACTTAACATATAGTCTAGAACGTGATTTAGTTAATGTTTGCAGCATTTATAGATCCTTGATCTTTAACCGAAAAGATTGTGCTAATCATACCCATCACTTGGTGAACAGTATTGTGTAGACTTATATAGGGAAACTTAACAATCTGTAGTTGTTTATTTCTTTACAGAAAAAAAAATCAGCATAATTATGTCCAAATTTAAATCCATGTTCATAAGTCACTGCTGTGCATAAAAATAAAATTGAGTGAATGTAGCTGTGACCTAGCGTTGCATTCAGTATTCTGTATTGAATAAAATATAGTCATCGGATGTCACTTACTTTTCTCGGGCAAATAAAGACATTTAGTGCAGTTGAACTATGCTCTTGATTGACCTTAATGATGGCAATTTTTCCTTTCAAATCATAAAGCTTTAGCCTTCAAATTGGGACAATTTTGTGCGCCAATGATGTGACCCAACTTATTATTTGTACATAGTATTTGGGTATCGGTTCAATTTACTTTTGTCATTCAGCGCCGGGTATCCCTTTTCATTCGGAGATTAACTTTTGTCTGTGTGCATTAAATCATGTATTTCTCACTTGGTAAACGTTTATAGAGGAGTTAGCCTGTTATATTGTTCCTGGAAATGCGCCTAATTCAAGAAGAAAAATTGCGCTTCTTAAATTAACAACACATTTGTTTGTCTTTTTTATAATTCAATTTTTATTTGATATTAGTTTTACAAAATCAATTTCTGAGACGCGTTTCTGAAGTTTAAATTTGATTACAATAACAAGTATGAAGAGAAGAATCTGCGTTCAAATCTGAGAGTTTTGTGTTGCTATAAATAAGTACGAACATTGAACAATTTGTAGTTTTTATCGTACTTAACATAATATGAGCCGCGTCATGACAAAACCAATACTTCGACCAGATGGATGCGTTCGCGACTATCAGGGCCATTGTGTATTCTTGCAAGTAAACCATGGCCATAGACGGCTGATCCGGCCTGAACCATGCTGGTCGCAAACGCATTACGTTGGTTTTGTCATGACGCGGCTCATATCATTTATTATAAAAAACATTTACTAATATATTTGTATTGTAAGCAAGGTAAGGACAAACTTGCCTTATTATGTTCAGAGATCATTCACATTAACTTGACGTTTCCGAAAAAACTTTGAGCTGTTTTTACAGTCTTTGCCGTCCAGGACTGCGTTTCATAGAAAGTACTAAGTGTATCCTAAGTCCTTTGACTTATGACAACTATGAGACTAACTTAGGACCGTTTCAATAAATATTTTTATCTTCAGTAAAAGTTTTAGACTTTAATTTAATTAATTCTCATTAGGAGAGTTAATAAATACAATGACACGCCCTTCAATCAGCAGTACATAAATGTTCATCTGCATTGCTATTTAAAGAAGAGTCTTGGTATAGGACATTTTCTTTGAGTCGAAAAATGTCTCAATTTTGGTCCTTAGACATATTTTAGACTTAGGACTTTCTATGAAACGCAACCCAGAAAAGAAATGTTGGCCATTATTTTTTATTATTTCTTAATAATGGGTCGTCTTTATACGTGTACACAATTTCTGATGGACTTTGAGTTATTTTGATAATAAGATTTAAACGACCAGAAACTCTCCCCTCCCTTCTTATATTGAAACATAGTCTCATCGCTCTTAAATTAACTTTATATATTCATAGACGAAATCATTTACATAAAACATTACCCCACTCGTCCTACACGGTTGTTTGAAACGTGCTATATTAGATCTGCATAGATAAAGGAAAGAAAAAAAGAAAGATGAGATTCAAAAACTCCAAAATATTTGTAGGATTTGTCGTTGTCAGCTAAGTTTGTGAAATGTTTTTATCCCTTATATGGGGGAAGGTGACTGATATGCCTTGTCATGTAGAATTAAACAATTGTCAATTATGAATAAGCACATATATGACAGTCAGTGACAGTTGGGAAACAATAATACAACATAGTGTCTATATTGTTACCACAACACTTCCGTAACTTCATATGGTGTAAGTAACATAATATATTAGTATGTCTTTAATACTGGGATAAAATAAATCAAGTTTTGGGGCTGTATTTAATATACATACAAATCATAACATCATATTTTAACTGGTTATTGTGTGTGTATTGCACCCCCTACCCCACCCCCATCAACTCATCAATTACATATTGCGAGGATATTATGTGGAAACCATATTTCAATTTAACCCTTGTTAACATTGCTCATGTCATTTTGCAAATCAAAAGCAATCCGAAATGTATCGACAGAAAAATCACACCAATATTTTACCATTTGCTGTAATAATCTAGCGGAATTAGCCATGATGGCATTGACCTTGACTCTAGGGGAATTAAGGATTTGCCGACATGATACATTAGAAATGTGCAATCAAATTAAACGAAAAACTGAACATTGCACTGGTTTAGAGCAAATAAGGCTATGAGAGAATATTCTGTTGAAGTATTGATTATCTGTCTAATGTATTAGTTGAGTAGATTGTAGCAGTGTACATTATAGAGGTTCCTCCAGCCGACAGTCGTTCATTTAATGTAAAGTTGTCCCTTAAAACCAACTATATTGTATATATGAAAGAAAGGACATTAAAGCTTTTCGTCAAACCTTGTTTCTTATAAAAGCCATTTTTTACAGAGTGCAAACGTTCAACAGATATATACCCAGCTGATTGTTATGAAATAATGGTAAAAATTCATTGAAATCACTTTTTTTCAAAATATTTATGTAAATGTATAACAACATTGAATTTTTCATACATATTTAGTTATTGACTTTGTAGTTTTCAGAGCGAATGTGTGGAAGCAGTAAAATGCTTCCAATTATTAGCAAATAAAATGCAAGTTTGTTAAGAGTAAAGCTGTTTAAAATAAATTTATTTGTAAAAAGAATACTCTGAAAGGAAGCATGCACGGTAAACTGAAAGATAATTTGGAAATTTCAAAGCTCTCGAGAAACAGTTAACGCTCTATATATTTAAAATTAAATATGTTTATGTTCGATCTTTAAAAGAAAAATCGGTGACTAGAAAAAAGCTTATTGTTGTGTATACAACTGAACTAATTAACCCTTTGCACGCTACAGTAAAAGGACCTGTCCATCTTTTAATCTTAAAAAATGTATTCAAAATTTTTAGGTAAATATAAGACGAATAGTTTGCATAAAGCTAATACAGAGCTTATAAAATATAAATATGTACTGACAGAATAGTAAACGTGTAGACGAAGATCTGACGGCACATAGTCTGATGTACAGGCTAATCTTGACTTTCAATAGTTACAGAGGTATATTCAGCTGCCACCAACAGAGTAATGGTTGAAGCGCAATATTTAGACGTATTTGGATTTTAAAAGAAACAATATATCTTTATTATAAACTTTTAAATGAAATATTGAGAAATATTGATGAAATAAGATGCGTATTTTCATTTTCCGTATTTTCACTGTAAGATATATTTTTCACTGCAGTGAAACTTATTTTCCATATTTTCACCGGTATCTTGTCAGACTACTTTCTTCTTTCAATAATCAAGAAGACTTAAGAATTGTAAGGTCAAAAAAGAGAAAAGTATATAATACACATAAAATTCAAGTTCTTTTCTATAAATACAGGATTTATTTTCATCTTGTGATAAGAAAATTACCATATTTCACTTGTGGCTACCGCCACTCGTGAAATATTTATTTTCATACCTCTCGGTGAAATTAAATACTGTATTTATAGAAAAAAACTTGAATATCCTCTATGTATCAATTACAAAAGACGTACTGTTCTATCTTTCAATCTGGACGAAACCATTCATCATTTTGAAGGAAATTCAAAATATATATATAGACTGTATAGCGAACAGTGCAGACCCTGATTGGACGGCACGGACGTACCACCTGATCTTAGTCTGCACTGGGTGCAAATCGACTGCCGCCATCAGGATCAGGGCTGATCAAGGTAAGATCTATTTTTAACGCTGTGAGGTTTGTGGTTCAATCCGTCTGCAACCTGTAGTGTAACTAATTTTATATGTATATGTTTATTTTGCCAATCAAATATGTTTGTAAAATTTAATGTACACATTATCTTGGCACAGGCTTCTTGCAGAATATACATGTATATAATATAAAAAAAACTGCAAATTCTGTATAATGAGTCATGTTGAAAGTGAATGACATTTAATAATTACTAATTCTTCACTATTAAGACAATTAAACTCTTTACAAATATATATAAACGTTTCTGTTTTATTGTATTGATATCAGATCATTTTGGAAAAAAAGTGATCTATCGGACCTAAATGATCATTATGAGGGGGGCCTAAATGGAAATTATAGCGAATCATTTACACAAATAATTGTCTTTAAGTTTATGTTGAAAATTCAACACACTGTTACAATGTATATAGAAAAGGTTGCTCACACTGCGTATATATATCAGCTGTATTACATTATAATTATTTCATTCACCATGTTACAGCAATTACAAAACAAAATATAATGTTTAAATGCTAAATAATTAATGTTGCTGGTGAAGTTGCTAGTATTGAAAAGTGTGAAAATCTCTTACTTAAAACTGATTTTTAAATGTTTAATGATACTTAATTCCCCAGAGAAAAGTTTTAAGCAAATTGATTTAAGAGATATTTCCATTCAACAGATTGCTAGTTCACACAAATACTACGCTTGCTTATTGTCCTGTTTTTTCAATCGTTATAAACAGACAATCTCAATGAAAGCTCGTGATGTGAAAGAAAAATGATACTCTTCTTTTTCATTTATTTTCTAACTTTTAATAATTAAAAAACTTAACGGAAAGGAAAATTGTTCAGTTTAGTTTGATACTTGTATTTGGATAAAGAAAATCTTTCAGTTAAACAAACAACTGCAGGTTGAGATTGGTAATTAGAACAGAAATATCAGTTTCTAGAATCAATATTTCTTTAATGTGTTTTTAAATGTAATATAATTCTGTATTTACAAATTATAATTATCATGCCTAATAAAATGAGAAAATTTATCCGTAATTTGTTTCAAAATAGGTATATTCAACAAAAGTCCACAACAAAACTTCAGGATAAATGTAGTGTATTGTTTTAATAACTCTTTCACAAAGCAACTGGTAACAACAAAAATAATTGAAATAACAAGTTAATTAACATAATTGTAGCTTTAAATAACAAATGGTGTGACAAGAAAAGTTAGTGCATGTAAACACAGGGTTATTTATTGTACACGATTTTTATCTAGTTAATGAATACATTTATGTATCCGTTTAATTGAACAATTCAATCGAAATTCCTTTGACATATACATGTATATACAAAAGATAAAAATACACAATCAAAATGCCCGATATTAATTGATATTCAATTATTCACGTTTGTGTTAACAAATGAAACTGTACTTAAAGAATGTAAGTGCTAATATATAAAAATGTATGAAAAAGAAATGTGGAGAAACTTGAAATACTTGCAGAAACTTGCATTAATTGATATGAAATATCGTAAATAGATTAAATTGTAACAAATGTGACTTGATGCAGCTAATCTAGGCACTCAGAAACTAATATACAATGTTATATTCCACAGCACACTGTTCTCATATTGCAGTATTAATCATTGAAAAAGAACTATATGGAAAACAAACAGCCTTAAAGGTATGGTGTTTAAGACAGTAGATATGTTTACCTACATCTTACGATTTTGCTTTTTTCCCCCAAACGATATCAAAACAGAACGATTTTATGTGGGTGTGTGTGGAAGACATAGGATATTGTCCTTTTTCAACACATATGAGACTAAATTTCACACATATTAACATATAAGACATACGTTTGTTTTGTTCAATATGTATATTAGTGTAAAATATCCCACTAGGGACACATTGTTTAACAAGGGAGTACGTTGATATTGTTGTCTGAATTATGACAAAACATTGTGATATGATATATTTATGATGAATTTACCTCGGTAAAAACTCCTGAATATCCTTTAATCTCAAAAAATACATATCTGGTATAATCGATGAATATTTTTTGTAATGAACTAGAAAGGATTTTATGAGCAGTATAAACAAAAGCTGTCACGTGATATATACCCCCGAATGAAGCCTCGATCAATTCCTTCTCAAGACATATTAACAAATATATGCATGAAATAAATTACATTCTGGACACGAATGTGTGCATATACAAAACAGAACCATTGCCTTTAACTGTATGTGTAACCTTGAACAAATGATAGAGTTGAATGTATGGTCTGTAATTATTATCTTTGTAATGTCAACTTGACCTTTAAGACTTGCCACGGACACATGTCGATTTAAAAACTTTAATTAATCAATTCACAAATAAAACCTTAGACACAAAAACAAACACTGTAAACATATTTTTATACCAATTAGTAACTAAACCTCTTAAACAAGGTCGCGGGTAGTGCTCGCGAGACACGCATCTTCTTGATTTGATTGTTTTAGCCACTACTGCTTATTTCCTTCAATGAACAAAATAATTACACTGTGAGCAAAAATGCGCGTATTTAAACATGATTTTAGTAATATCTGAGGTAGGGGCATGTTTTTTTGTGACAAATTGTTTCGGTTCAGCGATTACTCCAAATTCCTAAGGTACAGGAAGACCACGTAGGTCCATATCGCCCATCTGAGTGAATGAAAAAGTTAAAGAAAAATGACCGAGGTTCATATTAATTAACGATTAAAGATTTTAATCAAGCTATTATTATATGCTTATGTATAAAACTGGAACCATTTATACAACTTTTGTAGAGGACTACCTACGAATTAATCCTGCAAAGCCTGATTAAAATCACAAGGTGATCCGGAAATTATATAAAGAAAGTAAAATTTTGATTAACATTGGACCACAGACGATGGACATCAGACGATCACAAAACCTTAGGGTGAACTTTAAATGTGGGACGGACACGCAGTCAGACAAACGGACGATACGACTTTAAAATGCCTACATTCGGGGAGTATAAAATATACCTATCTTACATATCTTAAACACTAGTGACCTTAGAAACACGGCGAGAGTCACCAGAATCTAACGATTCCGTGGCATCATCTAACGTTCCTTCAGACTGAACATCGGATTGTACGCTGCTCTGTTTGCTCATAGAGGCAGCTTGTTCTCTTTCTGGCTCTTCTGCTATCTTAGTTATATCTCTTGACATAGGCCTATAAGCTATCGCTGGTTCCCCAGTCCCTGACCGGAGGTAAAAATTCTCCACTTGAGATTTATATTGATGTTCATGTAGACTATATTGCTGTGATATGTTTGATTGTTCTTGAAAACTAACATCTCTAGTCTGATATAAACTTGTGTCACATGACTTCAATTCGGGTTGGTCTTGTGTTTGGAGCTCCTGAACTTTCGGCATCTCTCTTTGAGAGATTATGATTGGCCGTGTTATAGGTTCTTCAGTTAATTCAGGTATTCTGGATGTAGCATGCGCTTGGCGTTGTATTTGAGGTTGTCTTGATACAGATCTTGATGGAGACCCTGTCAAACTCATACTCTCCCTGATAAGAGTTGATAAAACATTTTCAGGGGCATCAACAATTTCCTCTGGTTCACTAATGACTGTTGGTATTATATTGAATCTGAGATCTTTCTTCGCCCTTGCACCTTTCTCATCTTCCTTTTCCGCTCTAAGTTCGTCGTTACTATCGGCAATAGCATGTTCTAGTACTTTACTGAGTACTGAACTAGGATAACTTTGACCAGATGGTGACTGGTCGTCAATTATAGTGGTAATTCCATCAGTTTTACTTACACGGAAGTCTCTAATAGGATATGACTGTAGACATATTTTCTGATTACGCCATCTAACACTTTCTAATATCCCTTGAGTAATAAATTCAATAGCATATCTAGACTGGGGTCTTTTACTATCGCTTTCTTGCTTTTCGGTTTTACCAATGTTTATAATCTTGCAATCAATGTCAGCAAACACGTCGCGTAAATCTGATATCATCATGACGGCATATATTTCTTTGTTGTTTTTTCTTTTCACTATGATTGGTGCTTCGCCAGTTGGCATACGCATTAATGTACGAACTTCAAAATCAGCTACTAATTCATCTTCTGTTACCAGTAATCTTGCATTTGTAACATGATTAGGTTCTACAGTTACGTCACTATCAACTTGCCAGGTGAACGTGTCCTCAAACGTTTCCCCTCGTGGTCGACATACCCGTAAGTAGCCATCGGCACTTGCGCTAACTCCGAAATGTCCAATTTCTGTTGGGATTTTAAGTTTAAAATTACAATTTCCTTTCAATGTAAATCCTTTCTGAATAGCAACTATTGTGGCTGCCTTTGTCTGTCGTTGTGTACGAAGTTTATATACCTGGTCTTTATTCGTGTTGTTTGTAAAGTCAGTTCTAAATAACTCCACTTGTTTCTTCTCCCTGTAACCACCCTCAGAGCTCCCGGCTCTTAAATGAAACTTAGTTGTCTTATGATCGAACTCAAAAAAGTTCCAAGAAACATCAAATGTAAAATCGAGCCTTTTCACACAGTCGTACCATTTAAGGTCGCGTTTCAATTCCCGCCAAGCGTAATCGGTGATAACCTTCTCAAGGTCAATAATGGACCCCGGTTCGAGGGGCTGAGATGGAAGACTACAGAGCATACCTAACAATCCAATAGTCATCAAGATGCTTTTTCACTTGTGAACTTTACGCTAATTTCAGGACATACACTTTAACGAGAGTGTTCTTTTGTTAGTTATATTTCTTTGCCAGACAAAGTCGAATGAGTACTGTCAATAGACAGTAAAATATAATTTCACGTTTTGATGGCATAACTGTAAAATATACGTCTTTTGATGGCATAAATGTAAATATACGTGTTTGATGAAAAATCTTCTTTGCTACAATATATTTGAATATGTCACAGTTACATGTATACTTGAATTTTGTAGTCGTAATGATAACATTGTCTCTGCAAAATACTGCAACCAGAATTATTTCTAGTTGCCTGATTTGACAGTATTAAAGTGAATTAATGTGTAGAAGATTACAATGAATATCTAATAATAATCAATGACTGCTATTATGCATCGTAACTCCTGTAATTATTTCTAAAATAAACACCACCGATCGATGTAAATTCATACTCCTTTAGAAGCAAAATATTTTACAAGCTATCAAGAAACAATAAGTCAGTCTAGCAACGTGTGTTAGGAAAAATTGAGTCTTTAATTCAACGAGACAAATGTCGTCCAGAATAATATATCGTAGTCTGCGCGCATTGCTTTCCCTTTTTTATACACTATGTATTGGAATCTGGTCTCAATTACATAGCATCTGTACCAACCTCTTTTAAATGTCTTCAGAGTATCATTGAATAAAATTTACAAGCGAGCTTTTTATTCTCATGTCAAACTTTCTGTTATTTCAAATTGATTTTCCATGCTAAATTGAACGATGTTAACATGATATTATCACTGTTGAACAATTTGACATGTTTAATGTATCACTGTAATCCAGTATCCAGTTATCTCACAATATCGCATTTTGCAACACTCGAAGCTGCACTTGTATACAGATGTAGCGGCGATAAAATCAATTAAAACTGTTATTTTAAGATGTTCGAAGTAGAAGAATTACCAAATATTTCACAAAGACAAGCACATGAAATATTGAGCACGCTCAACATTTCTTCTCGGCAATATCTAAACGCCGTTTTGTAGATCAATAACAGACATTTGTGTATTTCTTCCCGAGAAAGGAAAGGCAAAATAATTCCATTGTACAATCCCCCCTGGAAACAGTGTCATGTCTGAATTGTTCACTCACTAACGTATCTCTTAAGAAAGAAATATCCAAATTTACCGTACAAGCTATTAAGTCAGAGTTCCATTAGAGCTCCCTTCAGTATTTAACAATGATGCCGATTGTGGTCATCTTGTGTTTGCAAAGCAAATGTCTTCGTGTCTGCTTTATTAATGGTAGCTCAGAACAAAAAACCAATACATCGCCATGAGTGATTTAATGTTAGAAAAAAACATAAGTGAGATGTTAAATAGATAAACGAGGATTGCTGTCAAGAAACAGATCTCTGTATAGTATGCTCACAAGTCTGCATCAATTATTTTCCATTCAAACTCGTTTATTCGCCTTTGAACCTTTACCGCGTGTATATATTAATAATGTCAAACGGTTCTAAAACATATTTAACCTGTTATTTTAGTATACCAGTTATCTTTATTCTGATATTTAAATTTACATTTATCCCTATGTTAGTTATTAAATATCAAAATATGGTTACTGTTTTTTATTAAAACGTTTTTCCTATCGTGATATTATTATCACTTTAATCTTCAACTCCTTTTTTTCACATGTTACATGAAATGCCTTTCTCTATTCAGTAAAGAGACAGAAAAATTAGCGCTTCAATATTTACAACATCCTAACAGAATCACACAATATTTATGGTTATCCATACAAATATTGAGATTGGCACTGATTTGTTTCCATCGTAACGTATCGATCTTAAATAAAGAACTAGAAGTATTCAGCTGAAATATAAAGTGTATTTGCGTCTCGTATTATTAACTCTCTCGAGTTTTTTGTTCCTTAATTGTGTTGCTCGACAATGTATTCTTTTAGCAAATGTGACTGCTTTTTAGTTAACTGAGCATCTAAATTACATGTCATATTGTTCTGTTCACTGACATTTTCAAAATATTGGGAATTATGATTTCAAATCAGACAGAAAGATACATTCATTCACCCAATGTAAGAGGTCGATTATATATGCCATTCTATACGAATAACAGCATCGATAATTGTAAACGAAACATTTCTCTGTAAAATTGTTCCAGTATTGGTGAAATTAGGCAACAAATCCAATATTCACAAGCCGCTGCCAGTGTATTTATCTTGCTGATATATTACATCCAGTTTTTACGTCTGCCACTGTTCATGGTACAGTCTCAGCAAATAATTTTAAATGTACAATTGTCAAAGATTAGCATCACCAAGAAGACACATTAAACCCGTTCATGAAAATACAGTATCATCAACAAAATAATGTTGCTTATCGAAATCACGGTAAAATTGAAAGTTTTAATGTCGTCAAATGCGAGTTTTCATTTATACGAGAAGCTCTAGTGTAATTTAGTGTTTGGCGTTTTGGTTCCTAATACTTGTCATCTGGTAAAATATATTACAATAAGTTCACCAACAAGTCTTGTGAAGACCCATTTCATTTGCTTTTTGATTTGTTGTTTCATTGGAGTGGTTAATGTTTACTTTCTGAAAGAATGTGCCCTAGATAATCATGTGGTCCTTAACAAAGGTTGGTGTTAAACTATTTATTTGTTCCAAAGAAACCGACGATGATTTTTATATTTCTCAGTTTCCGATCCAAAAGTAGCCCTATAAAAGGCGCTGAAGAAAAATCAATGTTATTTGGATGTACACAATTAGGGAAACACTATCCAATTTTGTCACATGAGACACTTTGGACTGATTTATTAAATCATGTCGGTAAAAGGTTTTTTTTCTGAATTCAGCTTTGGTGACACATAAAAGGTGTTAAAGCACTTTATCCAAATAAATATATATCGCTATAAGCTCAATTCTTTGAAGATATAAACAGATTGGTACATGTGGTGCATATATCTTTTTTATTTCCAATGGCTTCGGACGGGGAAATGAACAGTATGATCACTTGCCCACTCAGTGATTCGGAAAATACCAGTTTATTGTCACACCAAATTGTTTTAATGTACCATAATCTCGGATTTGTCTGTCTAATATGAGAACTATTTTGGTTTGGAGATTTTTGTATAAATATATATCATTTGGTATCTGCTTGTAGATAATTAGCCTTAAACCTTCAGTATTTTTAAAATGGACTTGTCCATTTTTAAATTTAGAGACATAAAAATTAAAATTTGAGGCCGATCAGCCAGCAGTAATCAGTCTAATCAGACTATACTCCATATCGGCGGGAAATGCTAACCACTGTAAGTTCAAGTGAACTAACTAGACGATTATGATTGTGTACCAATGTAATCTGTATTTTTGTAACCATGTGAACTGTAACTTCATCAGAAATTGTGTTATAGATGAATAACATCAGACAGCTGCCAAAAAGCGGAAGTGCCGCACGAGGAACTTGAACTCCGCTATTATGCCACGCCACGGACTTGCACTTTGCTGACCTTATGTGCTAATTGAGCAAGCTATTCCCTGATAAAAACAAATATGAGTCAGCTTAAACGTATATGCCCGAAATACTCAATTTTATTATAAATTCCTTGATACTTGTTACAGTTCTCTTGTCATAACAAACTAGGTCTGTCTTAAATTTAAACTAGGTCTGTCTTAAATTTAAACTTCTAACAATGTATGTTAGTTACACAAGATATACTTCATTCCCCAAGTTGGGAATAGAGAGACCATAAGTGTTATATTACACAGATGTCTAGACATTGAAGATTCTTTAACCGGTAACTGTAATATTAATATGACAGACACTGTATATTTATACCTATACCAACAAGCATTTGATGCTTGAAATGTATATCACTGATCAATATATCCAAAAAAATGTTTGTGTGCAAAACAAAGAAAAACAAAAAATGTTCAAGTTCTCATTTTTATTGCTTATTTTGACTAAGTAGCATACATGTATTGAAAGGCATAGTTATACTGGAGCATTTATAATACTTAATATATTTGTCATCTTGTAGAATCACCCAAATAAAACTTTTGAAGGTCCATGGTTTTGTCATGGTTTTGTCATGGTTTGTAAAAGAGCTACTATATGAAGATCATGGATTTGTAAGTGTTAAAAGTATAAAAAATAACTAGATATACCAGCTTGTTGAAATAGGCGACCAAAACCAGTTAATAATCAAGGCCTCTGTTTAGCATCAAGTCACAGAATCATTAACTTAAGTTATAGGATAAAGGGAAGATAAGTGGTAACATATGGATGCTCGTTACATGACATGACCGGACAGTAAAATGGGTTTTGTGTGCAGATTCTTACCAAGTGTCTCCAAACTTCAGTTACATTTATTTCCTTTAGCATGTTAAAAAATGTGCTATCACTCTATTAGTAGTTAGCTGGCATTCTAGTGACCAAAACGTGTACTGTGTACATTTGTAATTTGTCTTCTTACTTGACTTTGGCCCTCATTGTATTACAGCATTATATGTCTATTGCTTAATCAAGTTATCTATTGTATTGAGTAAGACACTTGCACATCAATTACCCACTGAGTTATTGAATGGAACAAAGTCTAAGGGTAAAATTTTACATTTTGATTTTATACATAGGATAGTGGGGTACAGCAAGAATGTTACAATCAACTCCTGCCTTACCTTGACTACCTATCTTCTTACATTCATTGAAATCATGTAGGTAACCACTAACAAACTCCTTACTGTGTCTGTTAATAAGGTAAAACTTGCCATTACTCACAACACATTTATTTCCAAACTGAATGGAATCACTAAAATCTATTCCCTCTAATTTTCCTGTTTCCAGATTCATTTTCCTCATGATAAATTTTGGTAATTCAAACATATCATGCTCATAGAGCCAATCAAGTCCACTATCAATATAAGGAAATTCGTAGATATAACCACCAAAGTATTGTGGAGTGAAAATGTACATATCATCAATATAGCAGGCTGTTTTTCTAATAGTAGTCCATTCCAATGTTGACAGATCAAGGCAGACAAGGAAGGTTTTATACACATAGATTTTACTGTCACAATAAACAGCTTGTGGTGTGAACCAGGTGTGTGGCATTTTTGTGAGGTCTGTCCATGTATCTGAAATAAAATTATAATAAGTTAAATAACTTAGATTCACCATCAACTAATTGAAGTTTTCTAGTATAACAATATATCAGTGTAAATGAGTTTGCTTTCTTTTATAATTGTTCACAAAATTGAGCAGTTTCAAGCAAAATAGCTAGAGGTCTAGTGTAAATAGAGTTACAGTAGTACAGTAGAACTACTTGACAAAGTTTTGAAACAGAAAGTAAGACTATTCATTTAAGTACTATTATGAGAGATATATTTACATATTCATAAAATAATTGCAAAACTCTGAGTTTTCACCAGGCATTTTAAAATTCTTTGTTCTAAAAGATTATTAATTTTCATTTATAAATATATGCTAAAAATGACTTTGATCATAATAAGTAATAACAATGGTAAAGATTAGCTATTATTTGTTTCATTCTTGTAAAATTTACACTGATTTATGAGAACTTAACATGTTGCTTAACTGTTTACATAATGCATGACTTCATGACTTCTTAAAAAATTTGTTAAATTTGTATGTTTGTATGTTACACTCTAGCTGTATTTAATGAATGCTGTGTATTTGTGTAATGACAGGGAACTATTATGTTCAAGTCATGATGATGAATAATAAAATCTGTTCTGTTCATAAGTATGTACATGACAGCTTTTTGAAACAAGAGCGATCAGTAATCACATGTGTCGCCTCATGATGGCCAATTTCATGTTGGGACAAATTTTGTGACAGACGGACAGACAGACCGACAGTGCACAACTAGACTTGGTACTGATCATTCCTGTAAAGTTTGGATAAAATTGCACCAGTAGTTTATGAGGAGTAGTCCGGACAAGCTTTTGCATATCTGGCAACACACAGAAAAAAACCACCTTTTTATCAAAGGGCCATAACTCGGCCAAAAATCATTCAACCGGAAAACCCGTGCAATATGCCCAAAGACTTGACCTACAATCAATCTTGTAAAATTTCATTGAAATTGTATTAGTGGTGTAAGAATAAAAATTATTAAAGGGCCATAATTCCGACAAAATTATATTATATTGAATTATAAGCCGATTATATGCACAACTAGACTTGGTACTGATTTTCCTGTAAAGTTTAGGTGAAATTGCACAAGTGGATTTTAAGAAGTAGTCCGACAAGCTTTTGTGTATCTGGCAACACACAAAAAACCAACTTTTTTATTCAAGGGTCATAACTCGGCCAAAATCATTCAATCAGAAAACTCGTTCAATCTGCTACATATTAATCCTTGAAAGTTTGATGGAAATTGCATTAGTGTTATGAGAGGAGCATTCCGGACAAAACATTAAAATCAAAAATAATAATAGGTCATTACTCTGACAAAAATCATTAAACCAGAAAATTCTGACAATATGCACAGCTAGACTTGGTACTGATCATTCCTGTAAAGTTTGGATGAAATTGCATCGGTAGTTTATGAGGAGTAGACCGCACAAGTTTTGTGAGGGACGGACGGACGGACAGACAGACAGACAGACGGACAGACAGACAGACAGACGGACAGACAGACGACGGAGAAGTGATCCCTATATGTCGCCACTACTCCGTAGAGGCGACACAATAAATGACATTACATTAAATATTATTATGATATTTAGCAATGTTGCTAAGAATAACATTTAATTCATACCTAAATTATGAAAAAAATATTAACTTTAATTAGACATAGGGTGATTATTCAACTTGTTACAGTACTTATGAGAAATACAGGTATAAATAAAAGATCAAACAAAGAATTTTATGTGTAAAGGAGACTTTTCTAATACATGTACTACAAGTAACATTACAAAGAAAATAAATAGCTAAGGAAAAAAAACGAGAGCGAAATAATGGCTGTTAACCCATTACCACATGAGCATTTTGTGAACAAGAGCTGTCACAGGAGACAGCGGAGCTTCACTAATAAAATACTGGACACAGTAAGGAAGACAAAACTATGAGAGAACAATAGCTGTCATCCAAGTGACGAATGCCCCCGAAAAGGTTTCTTAAGCATGCAGGTATTATGAAAAGAAAAGAGAATGAAAGTAACTAATTGCTTAATATTGTTCTTTGTATTATTGTACCTGTAATCTCTAGTTGTGATAGCGTAAACCTTCAAAATGTAAGTGTGACCTTGACCTTTAAAGAAGGGACGTGGTTCCTGGACGCGACAGAATGTTGTTATGAGATAGACATCTGTGCCAAGTTATTTCAAAATCCCTCAATGTATGACAAAGTTACAGTCTGGACATGATTGTTGTGTAAGTGGGGACACATGGACGGACAGACACAGACATGAGCCTTAGCCGCGACACACATTGTCTTGATATGTAAGACATTTGTGCCAAGTTAGTTTAAAGTCCTTCCATGCATGACAAAGTTACAGTCCGTACATAAATGTGTATCTTCAAACTTTTCTCGAGAGAATGAGTACCTTCAAACTATAAGTGTGACCTTGACCTTGAAGGTAGGGACATGGGTTTTAGCCGCGACATATCATCTTGATGTGGTAGACATTTATGCCTAGTTATTTTAAAATCCTTCGATGCATGACAAAGTTACAGTCTGGACACAAATGTGTGTAACTATAAACTCTTATTGTGATAAAGTGAAAGTTCAAAATGTTAGTGTGACCTTGACCTTTGAGGTAAGGACGTGACTTTTGAACACGACGCATCTTCTCTATATGGTAGACATTTATTTCATGCCAAGTTCTTTTAAAATCATTCGATGCATGACAAAGTTACAGCCCGGATACGATTGTGTGTACCTATTAATTCTAATTATGATAATGTGAAACTTCAAAATGTTAGTGTGACTTTGACCTTTGAAGTAGGGACGTAATTCTTAGACGGGACACATCTTCTTGACATTTATGCCTAGTTATTCTAAAATCAATCGATGCATGACAAAGTTACAGTCTGGACACGAATGTGTGTACCTATTTACTCTAATTGCTATAATGTGAAACTTCAAAATGATAGTGTGACCTGGACCTTTGAGGTAGGGACTTGGTTCTTGGACGCGACACATCGTCTTGATGTGGTAGACATTTGTGCCAAGATATTTCAAAAACCCTCAATATATGACAAAGTTATAGTCCAGACACAAATGAAGTGGGGACGCACAGAGGGACAGACAGACAGACAGAACGGTGCAATTTCAATATGCCTCCCTTCGCGGGCATGAAAATCAATTACGTATAAGTATGTTTTAAGTTATAGTAAAAAAATAACATTTCTTAACATAAATTCCAAGTTCAAGGGGGAATAATTTTGGAAATAGTCACGCTAGAGTTATGAACCTTGTCACACAACATGTGTGTAATGATAAGACATATATATTTGAAATTTGAATTAGATATCTTAAAAAGTAAAGAAGTTATAATATTTCTTAAGAAAATCCTAAGTTCAAAGAGAAATAAAACTGAAAATATTGCTTCAAGAGTTATGAACCTTGTCTCATAAGATGTAATTGATGATAAGAAATTTGTATTTGAAGTTTGAGGTAGATACCTTAAAAACTAAAGAAGTTATAGTAAAAAATAACATTTTTCAAGTAAAAAAATCTAAGTTTATGGGGAGATAATTCTTGCAATATTAGTGTTAGAGTTATGAACCTTGTTCCATAACATGTGGTTAATAATAAGGAACATATATTTGAAGTATGTAGTTGATCCCTTAAGAAATAAGTAACAGTGAAAAATAATATTTTTTAAGGTAAATTCTAAGTTCAAGGGGTAGAGATAGAGTCAAAGGCTTTTCAGCCTTGGTTACATGTTACCTTATGATCTACCTGGGGTCATTTTTAGCCTCTCACAAGTCCAAAATTTTCTTGGCAATGAGGGGTGCTGCCGCCCTCCTTCAAACCCCCAAACAGAAGGGGCCACATCCCCCTTCTGGCAACCCCTTGATGTATCTTTTGGATAGGGGGCGGCACCAAAAAGTGGTCACTTTTTTTAAACAACATTTCTCAGACAAAAACAAGTATTGGGGGCCTAAATAAGGCATTTTTTCACCATTTGAGACAACAAAAGGGGGGGGGGTGAAAAAGGCGTAAAAAGGCGTGTATATCTGGTAATGGGTTAATAGCTTATTTCTGTGAAATCATATGCCAGTTCTGCAACATGAAACAATTTTAAATATTTTTGTATATTAAGACCATCAAGGAAACATTCCCATTTCATTTCATTAAATTATGCAATATGCTCAGTGATTGAGAGGATGATGTTAAACTTTCATGGATTTTTACTATTTCTAGCTCCGGGGACTATCTTTTTCACCACAACAGAATGATTTTATCTATTTCTGTACAAAATATAAAAGAATTATTTTTAAGTTTTAAAGAAGTTGTTTTATATGTACCATTGACTGTATCATATTGTTGCACTGTGTCCAGAATATCTCTGTACTTTCCAAATCCACCCATGATATACAGGCTGTCATGTGAACCACAAGCTCCATGATGTCTCCTTGGTGATGGTAGTTCAGTTACCTTCTCCCATTTCAAGTCAAATCCATCAAGTTTCCATACATCCATTATCATAGAGTAACGTGTCATACATAGTTGACCACCACTCATATACACATCCTTACCTGAAATATTTAGAAACTTGAATGCTGCTGTACATCATTTATATCAGTGTGAAATTATCTTTAACAGTAACTAGAAATGTGTCGTCACGCCACGGATGCCCCCGCATGCAGCAAAAATTTCAGATGTTACAATATTTAGTTCCAAATTTGTTTGCACAAACTATTTTTTTTTTAATTTTAAGTTCAAAGCCCTTAAAACTATTCAATGTAAACACAATTTATTTTTATACAAAGTTCAAGGTACTGAAACTATTCAGTGTTAACTAGCCAAAATAATGACATACATACATTTCTACAAAAGTATGAGTGCTGAAACTAAAAATTCAAAATTTTTCCAACATTCAAGAGAGATAACATTGTCCAAAATCATTGAACCACGACCAAATTCGAACTTGAACTGCTTATTCCTAAGATGTATGTATATGTTAAATTTGAGTTGAATGTGTACAACCATTGGGGAGATAATGAACGGAAACTAAAAATTTCTGATTTTTTTTAAAGTTCAAGAGGGATACCTCTGTCAGCTATCATCAAACAATGACCAAATTCGAACTTGACCTGTGTATTCTTATGACATATCCATATGTTAAATTTGAGTTGAATATGTACAACTGTAGGGGAGATAATGAACTGAAACTGAAAATTTCCTTTTTTTCAAAGTGAAAGGGGCATAACTCTGCCAAAAATCATCGAACCATGAATAAATTTGAACTTGACCGGGCATTCCTTTGATGTATCCAATTATGTCAAAGTTGAATGTCAAAGTTGAGTTGAATGTGTAATACCGTTGGGGAGATAATGAACGGAAACTGAAAATTTCATATTATTTTCAAAGTGAAAGGGGCATCACTCTGCCTAAAATCATCGAACAATGACCAAATTCAAACTTGACCTGCGCATTCCTTTGACATATCCATATGTCAAATTTGAGTTGAATATGTAATACTGTTGGGAAGATAATGAACGGAAACTGAAAATTTCATCAAGGGGCATAACTCTTGTCAAAAATCATCGAACCATGACCAAATTCAAACTTGACCTGTTTTTTCTCATGATATATCCATATGTCAAGTTTGAGTTGAATGTGTGCAACTGCTAATAAGATAATGAACGGAAACTGATGATGACGAAATGACAGAATGGCGGAAGGACTGAATGAAGGGATGGAATGACGGAACAGGGTAACACTATATAAACATAAACTAGAGCTGTCACAGCAGACAGCGAAGCTCGACTAATAAAATACTGGACGCAGTAAGGAGGACAAAACTATGAAAGAACAAGAGGGCCATGATGGCCCTGAAGTCGCTCACCTGTACATAGGCCCCCGGAGCAAGGCCAGTTTAAAGCCCGGGGCTTTTATTTGAACAAACTTTGTAGACAACCATTAGAAGATGTTTCATGCTAAACATCTAAGGTCAAGCTCGTTGGGATTTTTAAAAGAAGATTTTTTTAAGTTTTTTCTTTACACATATAGTTAAAAACAATGACACACCTGGGGCAGGGCCAGTTTTGACCCCAGGGCTTTTATTTGAACAATCTTTGTAGACACTTACTAGAAAATGTTTTATGCTTAATATCTAAACTCTAGCTATTCGGGTTTTTTAAAAGAAGATTTTAAAGTTTTTGCTATATTTGTATAAGGAAAATCAATGTCCCCCGGGGTGGGGCCAATTTTGACTCCAGGGCTTTTATTTTAACAAACTTTGAAGACACTCACTAGAAGATGCTTCATGCTTAATATCTAAACTCTTGCTATTTGAGTTTTTTCAAAGAAGATTTTTCAATTTTTGCTATAGTTTTACACATATAGGGGAAAAGAATAACCTCCGGGGCGGGGCCAATTTTGACCCCAGGGCTTTTATTTGAACAAACTTGGTAGACATCCATAAGAAGATGTTTCATGCTAAATATCTTAGCTCTAACTCTTTTGGTTCTTTAAAAGAAGATTTTTTAAGTTTTTACTATATGTATAAATGGAAAATCAATGACCCCCTGGGGTGGGGCCAACTTTGACCTCAGGGCATTTATTTGAACAATCTTGGTAGACATCCATTAGAAGATGTTTCATGCTAAATATCTTAGCTCTAGCTCTTTTGGTTCTTTAAAAGAAGATTTTTTAAAGTTTTTACTATATGTATATAGGGAAAATCAATGACCCCCTGGGGCGGGGCCAATTTTGACCCCAGGGCTTTTATTTGAACAAACTTGGTAGACATCCATTAGAAGATGTTTCATGCTAAATATCTTAGCTCTAGCTCTTTTGGTTCTTTAAAAGAAGATTTTTTAAGTTTTTACTATATGCATATAGGGAAAATCAATGACCCCCTGGGGCGGGGCCAATTTTGACCCCAGGGCTTTTATTTGAACAAACTTGGTAGACACCCATTAGAACATGTTTCATGCTAAATATCTTAGCTCTAGCTCTTTGGGTTCTTTAAAAGATGATTTTTTAAGTTTTTACTATATGTATATAGGGAAAATCAATGACCCCCTGGGGCAGGGCCAATTTTGACCCCAGGGCTTTTATTTGAACAAACTTGGTAGACATCCATTAGAAGATGTTTCATGCTAAATATCTTAGCTCTAGCTCTTTTGGTTCTTTAAAAGAAGATTTTTTTAAGTTTTACTATATGCATATAGGGAAAATCAATGACCCCCTGGGGCGGGGCCAATTTTGACCCAAGGGCTTTTATTTGAACAAACTTGGTAGACACTCACCAGAAGATGTTTCATGCCAAAAATCTAAGCTCTAGCTCTTTGGGTTTTTTAGAAGAAGATATTTTAAGTTTTTTCTTTTGGTTGCCATGGCAACCAGAGTTCTGCATGGAATTAAATTCTTTGAACAATTTTCAAAGGTGACCACCAAAGGAACATTCCTGTGAAGTTTTGATGAAATTGGCTTAGTGGTTTATGAGGAGATATCATTTAAAGTAAAAGTTTACGGACGACAGACGACGGACGGACGCCGGACGGACGCCGGACGCCGGACGAAAAGCGATCACAAAAGCTCACCCTGTCACTTTGTGACAGGTGAGCTAAAAATCAATTATGTATTAAGTTATAGTAAAACAAGAAACATGGCAATGCCACGAAACCAGGTTTTCAATTATCTCCATTGTAGATAAATATGTTGTATTTGTAATACAAATGCAAGCAATAAACAATGTAACTATGTGCAATGTAAAACATGAATAATGTAGGAGGAATTGCCTCAGAAGAAGTGTTCACTGTATATTCTGTATAAGGAAAAAATGTATTCTGTATAAGGAAAAAAAACAAAGGGCCATAATTAGGTCAAAAATTATCCAATCACAAAACCTCTACAATATGCGCCAGGGCACATGATGACAAAGCTTCTGTGAAAGTTTGAACAAAATCCGTTGAGAAATGTAGGACTAGTTCAGCACAGAAGAATTTGTTCACTATATATTGATAATTCTGTATAAGGAAAAAAAACAAAGGGGCATAATTAGGTCAAATATTATCCAATCACAAAAATTCCTGACAATATGCGCCAGGGCACTTGATAACAAAGCTTCTGTGAAAGTTTGAACAAAATCTGTTGAGAAATGTAGGACTAGTTCAGCACAGAAGAATTTGTTCACTATATATTCTGTATAAGGAAAAAAACAAAGGGCCATAATTACATCAAATATTATCCAATCACAAAACCCCGACAATATGTGCCAGGGCACTTGATAACAAAGCTTCTGTGAAAGTTTGGTTAAAATCCGTTGAGAAATGTAGGAAGAGTTGCGCACAGAAGAAATTGTTCACTATATATTCTTTATAAGGGAAAAAAACAAAGGGCCATAATTAGGTCAAATATTATCCAATGGCAAAACCCGGACAATATGTGCCAGGGCACTTGACGACAAACTTCTGTAAAAGTTTGGTCAAAATCCGTAGAAAAATATAGGAGGAGTTGCGCACAGAAGAAATTGTTCACTATATATTCTATATAAGAAAAAACAACAAAGGGCCATAATTAGGTCAAATATTATCCAATCGCAAAACACCGACAATATGTGCCAGGGCACTTGATGACAAAGCTTCTGTGAAAGTTTGGTCAAAATCCGTTGAGAAATGATGGAGGAGTTGCGCACAGAAGAAATTGTTCACTATATATTCTATATGAGAAAAAAACAACAAAGGGCCATAATTAGGTCAAATATTATCCAATCGCAAAACCCCGACAATATGTGCCAGGGCACTTGATGACAAAGCTTCTGTGAAAGTTTGGTCAAAATCCGTTGAGAAATGATGGAGGAGTTTGCGCACAGAAGAAATTGTTCACTATATATTCTATATAAGAAAAAACAACAAAGGGCCATAATTAGGTCAAATATTATCCAATGGCAAAACCCCGACAATATGCGCCAGGGCACTTGATGACAAAGCTTCTGTGAAAGTTTGGTCAAAATCCGTTGAGAAATGATGGAGGAGTTGCGCACAGAAGAAATTGTTAACGCCCGCCCGCCCGTCCGCCCGCCCATCCGCCTGCCGACATACCTCAATCTAATAACCAGTTTTTTCCTTCGTAAAACCTGGTTAAAAATAACATTTGTTAACATAAATTCCAAGATCAAGGGGAATAATTCTAGAAATAGTCACGCTACAGTTATGAACCTTGTCACACAACATGTGTGTAATGATAAGAAATATATATTTAAAGTTTGAAGTAGATACCTTAAAAAGTAAAGAAGTTATAATATTTCTTAAAGACAAGAGCGATCAGTGATCACATGTGTCGCCTCATGATGGCCAATTTCATGTTTGGACAAGTTTTGTGACAGACAGACGGACAGTGCACAACTAGACTTGATACTGATCATTCCTGTAAAGTTTGGATAAAATTGCACCAGTAGTTTATGAGGAGTAGTCCAGACAAGCTTTTGTGTATCTGGCAACACACAGAGAAAAACACCTTTTTATCAAAGGGCCATAACTCTGCTAAAAATCATTCAACCGGAAAACCCGTGCAATATGCGCGAGGACTTGAGCTACATACAGATCCTGTAAAGTTTCATTGAAATTGCATAAGTGGTATAAGAGAAGTAGGCCGGACAAACTTTAAAACTAAAAATTATTAAAGGGCCAAAACTCTGACAAAAATCATTGAACAGGAAAATGCTGACAATATGCACAACTAGACTTGGTACTGATCATTCCTGTAAAGTTTAGATGAAATTGCACCAGTAGTTTATGAGGAGTAGTCCGGACAAGTTTTGTGACGGACGGACAGATGGACAGACAGATGACGGAGAACCGTGTCACATAAGATGTGGATGATGATAAGGTACATATATTTGAAGTATGAAGTTGATCCCTTTAGAAATAAATAAGTGACAGAAAAAAATAATATTTTTTAAGGAAAATTCTAAGTTCAAGGGGAGATAAATCTGAAAATATTGGTGCTAGTTATGAACCTTGTCACATAAGATGGGGATGATGATAAGTTACATATATTTGAAGTATGAGGTTGATCCCTTAAGAAATAAATAAGTAACAGTAAAAAATAGTATTTTTGAGGAAAATTCTAAGTTCAAGGGGAGATAAATCTAAAAATATTGGTGCTAGAGTTATGAACCTTGTCACATAAGATGGGGATGATGATAAGGTACATATATTTGAAGCATGAGGTTGATCCCTTAAGAAATAAAGAAGTTACAGTAAACAAGATATGTTTGTAAAACATGTATGCCCCCTATCAGCAGCCAATTAGTCATGTGATAAGGTTATTATGCATGACGTCTGACCCAGTGATCAAACAATTAATAAGGGTTATAAAGTATCTACTGGTCATGACCTTGACCTTTGACCCCTTGACCCAAAACTCAATAGGGGTCATCTGCTGGTCACGACCAATCATCATACAAAGTTTGAAGTTCCTAGGCCTAGGCGTTTTTAGTAAATTGATCAGAAACCGTTTTTACCTACAAGGTCAATGTGACCTTGACCTTTGACCCCTTGACCCCAAAATCAATAGGGGTCATCTGCTGGTCATGACCAATCACCATGCCAAGTTTGAAGTTCTTAGGCCTAAGGGTTCTCTTATTATTGATCGGAAACCGTTTTAACATACAAGGTCAATGTGACCTTGACCTTTGACCCCAAAATCAATAGGGGTCATTTGCTGGTCATGACCAATCACCATGCCAAGTTTTGAAGTTTCTAGGCCGAAGCGTTCTTTAGTTATTGATCAGAAACCTTTTTTTACTTACAAGGTCATTGTGACCTTGACCTTTGACCCCTTTGATCCCAAAATCAATAGGAGTAATCTGCTGGTCATGACAAATCACCATACCAAGTTTTGAAGTTCCTAGGCCGAAGCGTTCTTGAGTTATTGATCAGAAACCGTTTTTACTTAAAAGGTCAATGTGACCTTGACCTTTACCCCAAAATCAATAGGGGTCATCTGCTGGTCATGACCAATCACCATGCCAAGTTTGAAGTTTCTAGGCCGAAGCGTTCTTTAGTTATTGATCAGAAACCGTTTTTACTTACAAGGTCATTGTGACCTTGACCTTTGACCCCTTGATCCCAAAATCAATAGGAGTAATCTGCTGGTCATGACAAATCACCATACCAAGTTTGAAGTTCCTAGGCCTTAAGGTTCTTTAGTTATTGATCAGAAAACCGTTTTTACTTAAAAGGTCAATGTGACCTTGACCTTTTGACCCCTTCACCTAAAACTCAATAGGGGTCATCTGCTGTCATGACCAAATCATCACACAAAGTTTTTTTTGAAGTTCCTAGGCCTAAGCGTTTTTAGTTAATTGATCGGAAACCGTTTTTTTACCTACAAGGTCAATGTGACCTTGACCTTTGACCCCTTGACCCCAAAATCAATAGGTCATCTGCTGGTCATGACCAATCACCATACCAAGTTTGAAGTTCCTAGGCATAAGGGTTCTTAAGTTATTGATCCGAAAAGCATTTTTACCTACAAGGTCAATGTGACCTTTGACCTTTGACCCCTAGGACCCAAAATCAATAGGGGTCATCTACTGATCATGACCAATCACCATCTCAAGTTTTTTGAAGTCCCTAGGCCTAAGGGTTCTATCATTATTGATCGGAAACCGTTTTTACCTACAAGGTCAATGTGACCCTGACCTTTGACCCCTTAACACCAAAATCAATAGGGGTCATCTGATTGGTCATAACCAATCACCATACCAAGTTTGAAGTTCCTAGGCCTAAGGGTTCTTTTGTTATTGATCAGAAACCATTTTTAATTAAAAGGTCAATGTGACCTTGACCTTTGACCCCTTGACCCCAAAATCAATACGGGTCATCTCCTGATCATGACCAATCACCATATCAAGTTTGAAGTTCCTAGGCCTTAAGGTTCTTTAGTTATTGATCGGAAACCGTTTTTACGTACAAGGTCAATGTGACCTTGACCTTTGACCCCTTGACCCCAAAATCAATAGGGGTCATATACTGATCATGACCAATCACCATACCAAGTTTAATGTTCCTAAGCCTTAAGGTTCTTTAGGTATTGATCGGAAACCGTTTTTACCTACAAGGTCAATGTGACCTTGACCTTTGACCCCTTCACCCCAAAATCAATAGGGGTCATCTACTGATCATGACCAATCACCATACCAAGTTTGAAGTTCCTAGGCCTTAAGGTTCTTTAGTTATTGATCGGAAATCGTTTTTTTTTTCAAGGTCAATGTGACCTCGACCTTTGACCCCTTGACTCCAAAATCAATAGGGGTCATCTACTGGTCATGACCAATCACCATACCAAGTTTGAAGTTCCTAGGCCTTAAGGTTCTTTAGTTATTGATCGGAAACCGTTTTTGCTTTCAAGGTCAATGTGACCTTGACCTTTGACCCCTTGACCCCAAAATCAATAGGGGTCATCTACTGGTCATGACCAATCACCATACCAAGTTCGAAGTTCCTAGGCCTAAGGGTTCTTTAGTTATCACTCGGAAACCATTTGGTCTACGGACCGACGGACCGACAAGACCAAAGCAATATACCCCCTTTTTTTAAAAATGGGGGCATAAAAATAGTATTTTTTAAGGGAAATTCTAAGTTCAAGGGGAGATAAATCTGAAAATATTGGTGCTAGAGTTATGAACCTTGTCACATAAGATGTGGTTGATGATAAGGAACATCTATTTGAAGTTTGAAGTTGATACCTTAAGAAATGACAAAGTTATAGTGAAAAATATTTTACTGCACCAAAACTTTAATCTGAAATCTGGATGCGGACGCCGACACTGGGGCGAGTAGGACAGCTCTCCATATACTTCGTATAGTCAAGCTAAAAATGTCTAATGTGATATTGTAATTGATCTAACATAAGAAATGACAAACAATTTATTCCATTATACATTTTTCTTTTATGCAAAAAAATCAATGTATACAAAAATAAATACATTATGTATTATAATGTAGGTTTGTTCAGTAAAATGGAATACCTGTGTAACAAAAAGCCTAAGTGGATCTTAAATATGGCACACTTGAGTAAATAAATAGTACTTTTATAAACCATGATGGAGCCACACCTGAGAGTTACTACAATAAAAAAAACCTTAAATCTATCCCATGTTAATTGTTTGTTCTACTTTATTCATACTTTAAAGCTGAAGGAAATGTACTGTAAGTACAGCCAGACCTGGTCTAAGATCTTTGTTATAACGCTCAATATCAAACTAAGCTCAAGAGCCTTTTAGTTTCAGAATGTAATATACATTTCAATGTATTTCTTGTGTAAATCTATATTTAAAGGAGTCAACTGAGTTGGGTCATTTATAATGCAAGACTCATGACTTATAAAAAACTAAGGTAGAAGTCAACAAGGCATAATACATTGCTAAATATCTAAACCCTGACCATTAAAGATCATTCATATGTCAAGGTCAAATTTAGTTTTATATTCTTTAAGACATTCTCCTTAAGGTAGTTGTACTTAAGTATGAAACAATCCATTCATAAATAACAAAGTTATAGCCAATTATAACAAAAATCAAACAAATTCAAACATTTGACCTTGAAGGTAAATGTCATTTATGAGTCAAGGTCAAGTTTAGTCTGGTCTACTTGAAGGTCTTGTCAGAACGGCTGTTGTGTCCAAGTATGAAGACAATCCATTATGAATTTAAAAATAATGGCCAATGTTCAAGTATCAGGATGGGAATGGGAATGACAAACTGGCTGTAGCAATAGCTTGAAAAAGTCAAGCTGGAAATAGCATCATATAAACTCTGGCAAACTGAAAATACATGTTATCTTATTCAAGCAAGTATTATTGACATTAATAGGTTTAAATAGTCTAGACTTATTTTTGACCCTTGACCTCAAAATATGACACTGACCTTCCAGTTATTTAAGTGACATGCTGTCTTACTATCGGCACACAGTCATGCCAAGTTATATCAGAATTAGTCAATTACTTACCAACTATAGTGACCTGATATCCCATCTTATGTCCCACTTGTGGGTATACATCTTTAAGATCAAGAAACGGTTGAAATGTTTCTGTGATTTCATCAAACTTACAGATATCTGTGCATGGTTCTTCACCAAAAACATATCCACCAATAGAAAGGAAGATAACAGGGAGCTTACGAAACTGAAATGAATAATTAATCATCAAAATGATTAACAATGTTATTATATAAACATAAACAATACTCATATGCTTGGCACTGCTTGCTACTGACTAAAGTTTTGAAATGTATGTAAAACATGAATGCCCCATAAACAATTCATTTAGTACATAGCCTTACAGACATAAGAGGGTAACAATCTCATTCTGCAATGTCACATGGTAACATTATGGAAGGGAATATCTGCCTTGTATATCTTGATGATATGCTAATATCTGAATATTATTGATCCATGTATGTTGATTGCCTTCTTATTTATACATATTATATTTGTAATCTTCTATGTAAATTGATGCAAAATTTCAACTTTATGCACATGTTATTGTAAGGAACAATATTGAAGATTGTTTATGCAGAAATTGTATCACTGCTTTTGATTAATTCTTGTGAAAATGAAAATTTTTGTGTAGAAGAAAATATTTAATATATGCTTTATAATAGCATCAAATTATTAGTTGTTATGTCTTTATGAAAATCAAGGTCATACATGTGTCAAGGTCAATTTGAGTTTGATAAACATGAAGGTCCTATCTTAAAAAATGTTGTGTCTTTATATGAAGTTAATCCAGTTACAGAAAAAACAAGAGAGTTTCATTAATTTGACCTTGACATTCAATGTCAATTTAAAGTCACATGTAAATTATTCATTATCTTTGTTTGATGGCAAGTCTTGTTTTGTCCAAGTATAAATCAAATCCTTATATAAATAACAAACATATGACAATTTAACCAAAATTCAATAATTTGACCTTGACGGTTAAGGTCATTTAAAGCTAAAGGTCAGTTCAACTTTTTTCTCAAACTGTTGTTTTGTCGAAGTATGATGATAATCTATCTATTAATTACCATGTTATGGACAGTGTTGGGAATCGAAGACAAACTCATAATCGATTAATCGGAACAATCGGACAGGCTCTCCGATCAATTAATCGGAACAATCGGACAGGCTCTCCGATCAATTAATTGGAATAATCGGACTGAATGTTTTCCACCATAACTAACTAGAAAATAGAAATCATTATAACTTTTATTTAATATAAATTAATGTTTTTATCTAATTGTCTGTTTAACGTATTACAAAATACAAATTCTTCAGTCAGGACACAGTTTACGTACATGTAATGATTTTCATATTCATATTCAGAAAAATCAATGTGTCCCTGTTGCCAGCATTTACTTATTTAATCAAAAATAAAGTTTGTTGTTATTTAAGTGTCTATTTAACATAATTATTACAAAATACAAATCCTTCAGTCATACCACAGTATACATACATGTAATGATTTTCATATTCATATTCAGAAAAATCTATATGTCCATGTTGCCAGCATTTACTTATTTAATCAAAAATAAAGTTTGTTGTTATTTAAGTGTCTATTTAACATAATTATTACAAAATACAAATCCTTCAGTCATGCCACAGTTTACCTACATGTAATGATTTTAGAAAAATCTGTGTCTATGTTGCCAGGCAATCTAAATCATTTCTATTCAATCAAAAATAAAGTTTTTATCCAAGTGTCTTATTACAAAATACAAATCCTTCAGTCATGCCACAGTTTACTTACATGTAACTACTAACAACTACCAATACATTTTCATATTCATATTTAAAAAAATCAATTTGTCTATATTGTCAGCATTTAATCTAGATCTTTTCTTATTAACTATATTTCCTGCCAGACTAAAGACTCTTTCCGAGGGGACCGAACTTGCAGGTATAGCTAAAAATTTTCTTGCAACTTTTGCTAATCTTGGGTACAAATATTCATTACATTTCCACCATTCAAGTAATGTCAAAGTAGTGTCAGTATTTTGCTGCTGTGAGTCTAAATATCTCTGTATTTCATTTTCAATAATGTCATCATCAGTATTCTGACTTTCACCAATAATAATTACATCCTCCAACCACTTATCTGCATCACTGCACATAATTTTCATTTTCTTTGCTGGGCTTTCAACAATACTTTTATCTGAATCATTTTCAATAATGACATTTTCTGATGGAAGACTGGGTAACTGTGGCAAAGTATTTTCACCTTCATTGATTTCTATCTTTTCAATTTTTATTTTACCAGACAGATTTACATCTTTCACCTGTTCCTTGAGAATTTCAATGGCATGATCTTTTTCTTCTTGGCAAAGGAATTGTAGCCCTTTAGTGTCAGGATTTAAAACTGCTCCTAGCAAAGCAAAATCCTCTGTCTCAGTTCGAGCATTCATTTCATCAATCATTTTTCTTTTTACATCCCTGATAATGTCATCATCACTGTCAGCAATTGAAATAAATTTCATAATTTTCATTTTTGTTGTAATAACTTTGTGCATTGTCGGGTTATTCTGTGCACAAAGAATCTGTGTTGCCTTCAAAAAAGGTTCTAATATTTGGACAAGTTTTTCGGCCAAGGTCTGTTCTTCAAAAGTAAACAAATTTGACTTAATTGTGACTCCAGCTGACTTGGAAATACTAATATCATTTGCTACGGCAGTTATATAGGGCATCTGTTCGATTAACCGCTCTAACATAGATAGGGTACTGTTCCACCTTGTGACACAGTCCATTATTTGCTTGAAAATTTCAATAATTTGACCTTCAAGGCCAAGGCCATTTATGAGTGAGGGTCAAGGTCTGTCTGGTTTGCTTGAAGGTCTATCATAAAAAGATTATTATGTTCAAGTTTGAAGACAATCAATCCAAAAATAACAAAGTTTTAGCCACTAATAGCAAAAAAACAAGCAAAATTTAGACAATGGACCTTGAAGGTTAAGGTCATTTATGGATGAAGGTCAAGGTTAGTCTGGTCTACTTGAAGGTATTGTCCCAAGGGGTGTTGCTTAGTATAATACACCAAGAACTTAAAAAGTTATGATCAAAGAACAAGTATGCTGACGACAACGGTAAAGCCGAAGTGACTGTAACAATACATGTACCTCTATTCTTTCTTCCAAAAAATAGTCGTTCTAAAAATCAAAGTTTTTGTTAATACACAATTTAGCTTGTGTTAAATTATTATTACTTTTAGAAAAGATTATAAGATATATTTAAAACTGTTTTATGTGTACTGCAGAAAGAAGAATGATAGTGAAATTCAAGGTCTAAAATATACAACTCACCTTTTCTTTATTCTTTGCTTCATCATCATTTTTATTAACATTATCATCACTTCTGTTGACATTATCATCTTTTTTGTTAATGTTATCTATATATTCTTGCCATTCCTCACATTCTCTCATCAATTCATGATTTTTGACAAAGTCCCAGTTGTCTACAAGTACATGTACATCCTCACCATGGAAACATGGCAAACATTCCTTCAATTGTGCTTTCCTGTCAGACTTATCAAAATTATACCATCTCATAATGGCATCTAAAATTTCTACTTCACTTGTAATGTTCAGATGTGGTGAGGACAAATATTCAACCAAATCATTGACATTTGACTGAAGAAAGTCATCACTTTTAATAACTTCATTAAAATAATATAAAGCATGTCTTTTTGCACAGCTATACAATTGTTCCAGGTTAAGTGATTTACTGTATGTCATCAGGGACCAGCAGGTTTCATTATTAATGGTTTGTTTCCAGTAGGCTGTACAACTCTCTATAGCATCTTCTACCTGAAATAAATGTTTCTCATATGTCTAACCCTTTCTATTGAATGGACTTGTCCAACATTCATTTTGAAACAAACCATTAACATTATAGATCTATAAACAGTGTACATACAATGTAGATAATTACACGATGTGAACTTTGAGTCTGACATGACTCTGCACTGGTGTGCTGGCTAGTATCAAGACCTATCAAATCGATAATGGTTGTAACCTTTTGCCATAACTATTTGTTTATTTTTTTTTTAACAAATGCACATATTGTACCACTATTTCATTTGTTGTATTAAAACACCATGTTATAATGGCATTTTTGACCATCTGTTCTGTACCATTTTTATCAGATGATATACAATCTAAAATCATATGTAATGAAAGTGAGGAGAAAATTTTCTTTCAAATTATAATTTAAGTTACAGACGATGTTAAAGTTTAACTTTGGAAAGAAAGTCAGCTGGGTTAGGGTAAATGTGTACATGTATTCTGATCTGCATGAATCATTAGTTTAAACTTACATACAAATATACCTATCTTGTTTATCTATCACACCAGTCATAAATTTATTACCAAAGTAATAATATTGTGAATGTATAACTTATTAAGTACACAATTTTTGAAACATCCTAGGTACATGTATGCCATAAAATTTTTGGGCTGATATTTTCAATAATTTTCATTATCCTGAGATTTTTATCAGTGCATTAAATATAATATACACAATAATTATTAATGTTTCATTAAAAATTCAAACGAGTCTATTTTTAAAAAAACTTGCCTGGAAGATAACTGCAGCTTCTGTTAACTTTTTCATGTTTCTAGCTCCACGCTGTATCTTCAGCTCTCCAGTTTTAATGAATTCTATCAGACATGATACAACACTATATTCCTGGTCTTGTAAGGTGACAACATTGTCCTGATTCTCTATCATAGAACTGTCAAACATTGCACGGAAATATTCACTCTTCTCTCGTAATAAACGTTTATGGCAATGAAGAGATTTACCCTCCACCACAATCTTAAATTCCTCATCCTCCTGGTCAGCTGATTTACTCATAATAGCTTCAATAAAACACCTGTAATATATAATACAATGTCTTATAATTAATGCATCTAGTTTCTCATTAACCTTAATTCATTTTAAAGTTTGTACTTTTTCATCTTGCCTAGAAAAATATAAACATGTATGACAAACTCAACTCATTCTTTGGAAATTTTCCATCAAAATTCATACAGCAGGTAAAACACAACTGAAGAATTTGTCGGCTAATAAAAGATTTAGACAATTTCACAACAACCTATTTAACAATTAAAGTTTTTTTCAAGATTTAAAACAAGAGCTGACACGCAAAAGTGACAAATGACCCGAAAAGGTTTTGTAAGTATGGCAGAAAGGTATTATGAAAAGAAGAGACTAAATGTAACTAATTGCTTATTATTGTTCTTGTGAAATGAAGTGCTATTCATAGCAAACTTATACCATCTTGACCCTGAAGGTAGGGACATGAGCCTTAAAAGCGACATGTTGTCTTTATGTGGTAGACGTACATGTATATGCTACACTGTAGGGTATTTTAAAATCCTTCTATATATGACAAAGTAGGAACAAGGGTCTTAGATGTGACACATCATCATCATGTGGTAGACATTTAGGCCAAGTTGTTTAAAAATCCTTTAAAGCATCATTAAGCATGACAAAGTTACAGTCCAAACATAAATGTGAACTTTCAACTTCTATGTGTGACCTTGACCTTTCAGCCAGTGACATGGGCCTTAGCTTTGACATGTCATCTTGATCAGGTAGACATTTGTGCCAAGTTATTCTAAAATCCTTCAATGCATAACAAGTTACAGTCCGACCTTCAAACTCTTCTTGTGAATACCTTTAAACTATGTGTGACCTTGAACTTGGAGGTAGTGACATGGGTTTTGGATGCCAGATGTTCTCTTGATGTGGTAGATATATTTGCTAGACTATTTAAAACTCCTTCAATGCATGACAAAGTTACAGTCCAGACACAAATGTGTGTACCTTCAAACTCAGATTATGAGAATTTGAACCTTCAAACTGTGCAACCTTGACCTTTGAGGTAGGGATGTGGTCCTTAAAAGCAACATATTATCATGAAGTGGTAGACATTTGTGCCAAATTTTTCTTAAATGATATTGAAATTCAAGGTCTAAAATAAGTCTGACAATTGAAGTCTGGTTATTTTGCAGAACCATTGCCTTTTTGAAAATAAAAAAAAAAGGCACGCAATATTTGCCGCGAAAAATTGGCTCAAAGAAAAAATCTGCCAGTGCTAGCCTTGAAAATCCTTCAATGCATTTCAAAGTTACGGTCCAGACAAGTGGGGTTGCACAGACTCATTGTCAGTCAGACAGACAGATAGACAGACAGATGGACAAAGACGGACAGATGGACAGTGCAATTTTAATATGCAGCCCTTTGGGGGCATAAAACAAATTACAGTAAATGTTATAACATATGAACTGGGACAATATAAAACATTGGTATGGCTACTGTTCATGTGTTCAAAAAGGAAAGTAGAACTTGGTGGCCTAATTAGGGTGAAAAAAGATAACTCCATAATCCATTACAGCCATTTTCTCTTCCCCACTTTACCATTTACCAAACATGGGAACTTGTCTAGATCTGCAGGCTGGTATCAGTTACATAGGATCTATTTGACACAGTCATCACTTGAAAAATAAAAGATAATGGAATAATATTTTATTATTAAGGACCCCTATATTAAAAGCCTAACAAATATTTAGTGATACATCAACCAAACAGTTATTTTTCCAAACACCTTTGACTTGGTAAATGGTTTAAATTTTGCAGCCAATAATAAAATTATATATATACAATTTTGCTTGCTTTGACAAATTTTTCATCAATATTTTTAAAAAAAGTGATTTTGATATAATTAATTTTGGACAATATACATTGTAACACATAAAATAAACAGTTTTCTTGTATTTATTGTTTGTTTTTTGTATATCTGACAAAGGATCAAATACAATGAATCAGCCTGAGTTGAATTCACAACAATGTGTGACTTTATGCAATTAAGTTTGATATGACGTCCGATCAGGATGGGAAAACATGAAATCAAATTCAAACAACTACATGTATGAATGGAATTTACCCACACAAATATAAAGTGTTCAATTCTATTTAACATGCATGGTACATCCTGTACATAGCAGAGGCTAACTACAGGGAAAGCTTTCTGTCTCTCAGTCAATTAAATTTTTCAACAAGGTATTATACACTGTTATAAGTCAGGGGCTGTCAATGGTTCTGGTGAAGAATGTGCTCAGAGCTTTATCAGGGCATATACATTTTGTAGCATTTTAGGGGAAAATATTATATACCTACACATGTACATGTATTTTGGGCTAGGGGAAACAGCCTTTATTTGGTTATAAAATTGTAAAAAAAATATAGGAAAGAAAATCACTGTTTACTGGTTGGAGACCACTAAAACCGGACACCCACCAAACCCGGACGGCCGTGAAAATGCATGATTTAGGGGTTTTTTTATTTGTTCAGTGGTTCAGTCGCTTTTATATCAACAATAACTGCATGTTTGTTCTATAATTAAGTAAGTAAATTTATTTCAATTTTCGAAAACGGTAATATTTTAATGTGTTGTTCAAGAACATTGACATTGAAAATTTGGACGTCAAGAATGCAATACCTGACCTTATACTAGCTCTAATCATTTGCAGAGTGAATATCGAGTGAAAAAAACAAGATCTGTTTCCCTTAGCTTCGAGTAAAATCAATATCTCTAATGCAAAACAATGCAAATTTAGCTGGTTTTAAACCCCTAGTTTGGGGCGATTTAATGTCAGATTTAAAAATTTATTACACCAATGTAAAGCTTGTGATCTTAGCTTCGTATCAGTATATATTTGATTTCAACACATTGTTTGACACTTAAGGTATTTAAATTTACCGTTCAACCTACCACAAGTCAGACCATTTTACATACGCAATCGGTTATCTTTACTCGCAATTCTACTGATAAGAAATGCCTGTCATCTGCTAGTTCGGAAACTGTCAATCCGTGTATTTAGGTAATTTTGATACCCTACTTCACAGGCCTCAGATATAAATGTCAACATAATCAGAAATAAACTAATCCGTTGGTTAGGAAAAGAACCTAGATGCACGCAATCCGGTCAACTCGTCCCCTGGTCAACTCGTCCTCTGGTCAACTCGTCACCTTTTTGGTCAACTCGTCCCCTACTTTTGGTCAACTCGTCCTCAAAGAGTCAACTCGTCCCTAATAAGGTCAACTCGTCCCCTACTTTCGATCTATTCGTCACTATTATGTTGTAAATCAATGTCTTTAAATAGTTCTTTTATGTAAAATTAATAATGAATTTGATTGATATCGAAATATAAGTGTGTGTGTTTGCGTTTGTTTACCCTCCCCACCGGAAAGAGACCATATGGGCGAGCATATACTTCATTTATAATCATTAAAAAAAAAGGGATCTGATGTTTATTATACTTGTTATTATATCCGTACATGTGTTTATGTGCATACCATATCCCCCATGACAGGGTTGTCTTTACGTACAACCTTTGCCATGGGAGGCAGATGGGGCAGATGGGGCAGTCCCATACTAAGTTTGAGAAATCTAAAATTTATTAATTAAAAGCACTTGATTTAAAATCGGCCAAGACGTTTATATAGAGTACCGTCTTTTATAACAGGACTAATATTTATTTTATATAACTAAAAAGTTTTTAGAAATTTACCTATAATTGTAGAGTTCGCATACTAATGTGCGAGAAGGCATGTCAGGAACGTATTCTGACCAATTCAATGTGGGCTGACTGTTGTTTATGTTGGTTTCTATTTACATGTTATAAACCGTATACATTGGGATGCATATAATTAATTACATGTTTGTAATTAGCAGAGTTTGTTTTAAATTTTGTAAATTTTGTAAGTTCTACCGAACACCCGCTTTATAAAGTTAATTTTGATTGGTTTAGAGAGGATTGCCTCCTTTGTTCTCATTGGTCTAAAATTTCTTCTATCTGAATAAGGAGGTCAATCCGATTTTCTTGAAAATTCTGCAAGTTTTTGTGTTGATCTATTTCGACAAGTTTGTCGCGCGGACTGGATAGAGATTTTGCGGGTGCCCGTTGCATCCAATGTATACGTGTTTTTACCAACTTTATTTCAAAATTAAAACAAATATGATAATTAAAATGTGGTGGAAACGGCCTTATCTATTTATCACTGTCTCATGGTCTATAAATTATTATGCATCTAGATATCACACATAATAATTAATCTTCCATTACTTAAACAATTCATAGAAGAATAAGAAAAAATCTTGTGACCAATCTCGAAATATAAATAAAATAACGTCCTTTTTACCTTAAAATTTTTAATGATCTTTATCTAAGAGCACGTGCATAGCTTTGATGTAAAACTACAAAGACAGGTAAGTTTGCAAACATTCAATTAATGTTTAATTAACCAGAGTTTTAATGATAATTACCGCCTCCCTGAATGGATTAAACACTGACGACAGATTAACATAAAATTAGAAGTGCTAAAAACTTAATGTCGGTGCGTATAGAAGGATCGTGTCAATTAAAAACATGATAATTGTTTGTTTTGAAATTGTTAATATAAAAGTTGCCCTGATAAATATCAGATTTATGGGATCGTGGCCAAGTGGTTAAGGTCGCTGACTTGAGATCACAAGACTTGAGGGGCACCTGGGGTCTTAATTCCTCTGATCTTCATGTTCTTCGTAAATGACCTTATAGACAATATAAACACTGATTTAGAAGGTATTTTTACAATTAACGAACTTAAGCTTTTTCTCATTTTATTTGCAGACGACCAAGTACTTTTTGCTAAATCCCCTGAATCTCTACAGGCAATGCTAACGGATATTGAAACTTATTGTAATACATGGGGTTTGAAAATAAATACATCTAAATCAAAAGCAATGATTTTTGAAAAAGGCAGGCATACACAGCACATTTTTTATATTTACAACACACCAATCGAACTTGTAGAATCATTTAACCTGTTTAAAGTATTTAAAGATATAGAACTGCCAACATATCAGAAATGTAAATTGTTTGATTCTCTAGTCGGTTCCATTTTGAATTATAATTCGGAGATATGGGGAATGCACGATGCTAAAGATATAGAAGTTATTCATACTAAATTTTTGCGTAGAGTTTTAGGGGTTAAAAAATCTACTAACTTGTCAGCACTTTATGGTGAGCTTGGTCGTTACCCGTTACATATTACTAGAAAACTTAACATGATAAGATATTGGTCAAAAATACTTAAACTTAATGATGCATCACTTGTTAAGCAGACGTATTTACTTCTTAAGTCAGACACAGATGTTGGTCGAAATTATAACGGAAAAAATTGGGCTTCTTTTATCAAAGACACCTTGTCAAGTCTTGGCTTTTCATATATTTGGGACAATCAGTTTGATATAGATATACCATATAATACTATTAAACAAAGATTAATTGACACCTTTCTACAAAGTTGGTATGCATCTATCAATAATTCACCAAGATTACAAACATATTGTATATTTAAACATTCTTTTGAAATGGAAAAGTATTTAGATTATGTCCAAGAAAGTAAATATAGAACTGCTTTAACTAGATTTCGAACTTCTTCCCATAATTTATTTATAGAAACTGGTAGATACGAAAACATTCCTAGAGAACAGCGATTATGTAAATCATGCAATATGAAGCAAATAGAGAGTGAATACCACTTTCTCCTTGTGTGTCCCAACTACCGAGATCTTCGAACAAAATATTTTAAAAAATACTACTGCCATTGGCCTACTATGAATAAATTAGATAGTATCTTGTCGTCAGACTCAAATAAAACTATATGTGCCTTAGCTAAATTTTTGTATTGAGCAAATCATAAACGTATATCTTAATCTGATATTTTTTCTGAAAAACTATATTGTTGATAAGTACAAGTATTATTTGTTCCCATATTAACTTGTATTCTTCAGAAAACTTGTGTATAATTGTTAACTGCTATTTTTCTCACTGTACATGTGTATCATTGTAAATTGGCTATAAGCAATGTATTTTGTTTTATGCTTAATAAAATTCGTATTCGTATGTGACAATTTTAATCATTTGTGTTGTTGATTGTGACAAATAAAATGAAAAACAAATAATAATAAAATGTAGGGGACGAGTTGACCAAAGGACGAGTTGTCCAAGGGACGAGTTGACCAAAAAGGTGACGAGTTGACCAGAGGACGAGTTGACCAGAGGACGAGTTGACTCTGAATCAGATGCACTGTGTCAAATTTTCAGATCTCTAGCTTTAAAATTGGGAAAATGTTCAAAAAGTGTCCGGTTGGTGGTCCCCGACCAGTAGAGACTTGATGGTAAATTGTTTTTGTTGTTTTTTATTCTACTGTATATGTTATGGAAATGTTTTGAAAACAAGATCCAAGAATAAGATGTCCAATTTGTGCTAAAATGTTTTTTTTATCAGTCACCCAATAAGATTTAACACACGAGACGGAGTGTTTAAACTTTTGTCAACCTACTGCAAAATTTAAGCAGGTAAGGGCTTTATTAGTCCCAACTAATTGTACTGCGCGACGAGATATTGTGCTATTTTCGTGTCGGTTTACAGACACTTCACCCCCCAGACACTTCACCCTAGGCCCTTTTTTGCAGACACTTCACCCCTCAGACAGTTCACCTCTCATTTTAAGAAATTTGATTGAGACACTTCACCCCCCATTTTTTATTTTGTGTTAAACAATCATTTATGTAGAAAATGTTAAATGTATTCAATAGTGATCGAGTATGTTTATTGTTTTAACATATTTTATTATTATTTTATCATGTAATTGACCAAAGGCAATAGATATATTGTTGTTTTGCTCTACAAAAAAGGCTGGTATCACAAAGTTATTAGGAAGTAAATTCTTTATTTTTTATTTCATTTTTTATATATTTTATACTAATTTCGTTTAAAGTGAAAGTGATAACACTAATTGAATAATCTTTCTATTGAAGTGTGTGAACTCTACTACTCTTCATGATTGGAGGAAAAAAAGAATCAATCTATCTATCTACATGTATCTTTGAAATATATACTAAGTATTATAATCTGTTTCACACTTCCTTTGTGTATTTAATTGACAGTATCTTGTTTAATGAAATGAAAGCAAAACATGAATACAAATGGAACTGGCAACACATAGCATGTGACACCAGTAAGTTTACTTAATTTGTTAGCAACAAATGAGTAAAATAAATTATTGGATGATATTTGTTTCTGAATTATTTACTAAACAAATATTTACTCTTTGAAATGTTTGTAGTTTATCCTTTAATTGAAAAATTCTAAATCAACAACACTTAAATAATTAAAATAAACATTTAATAGCATTTTGTTGTCGCTTATTTACTTTCTAGAAAAAAATTGGATGAGGGGTGAAGTGTCTTACTGATTTTGAGGGGTGAAGTGTCTTGAGGGGTGAAGTGTCTTCAAAATTTGAGGGGTGAAGTGTCTGGTGGATGAAGTGTCTTGCTACCTTCGTGTCTGGGCAATATCTCGCCAGGCGTGTAGCTGCCTATACGCGAGTACGCAGCTGAATCCACATTATTTTGCCCCCAAAAAAATTTTTTAGCAAAAAAAATGTGGTTTGATTCGCCAGATCTGATAATTACCACACTGAATACTTTATAAATCATATAGCCTAAATCGTACACCATACCGTAGTATTTTTTTGAAAAGTTGTCGGCCTTTGCAGCTCTTCAAAGTCGGAAGTTTGCACGCGCCGTATTTTCGAAATGTAAACAAATTGATATTATCATTAACGAGTTTGCGGCCAGCAAAGGCCGCAAGTTAGACTTGCTGTGAAATGTAGACTAGTTGAAATAAACGAATACAAAGCTATTCATCTCCATTTTTATGCTATAATAAATGGATTTTCGTTGGTCAAGAAAGCTCTCCGGAGGCCCCAAAACGCACCAAATTGCACCATTTATTTCAAAATTTTCAGGGGGGGGGAGGGGCATGCCCCCTGACCCCCTAGATTATTTTGAATCCACATTCTTTATAGGCTAGCTACGCGCCTGCTCGCCTCTAAGTTAAAGCGAGATTCTGCCCCATAACGAAAATATCTCAGAATCAAGCTTCGGCACGTCAATATATTTTGACCACAGGAGCTTGAAATTCTATCACTAATCGCTCTATATAGGTATGGATTTTTTTTTAAATCGGACTTTTGAGCAATTATTGATAGAATTTCAAGCTCCTGTGATTTTGACTAGGGCTTTATCAGTTAATATATGGGCATTATTAAAGATTAAACCCAATGCACGGTCGAAACCATCATTTATATTTGAAGTTTAGATTATATTTACCAATTAACGATTAAAGTGTATGACTGTCATAGCTCTGTTTGGCCATATTTATTTAAGACTAACAAATTATCCGCTTTCAATCGAGTTTTCCTTCCATTTTAGTTCTGAAATATTGGCTAGTTGTAAGATTAGGTCTGTAGGTTGAACACCAACAAATGTTTATGTCGCAGGAATACTATTTTGAATTCAAAATTCTCAAATCATCCTTATATTTATAAATTAGAATCTTTAATGAATACATGTAGCTCTAACCATTCAACTTTATTGAAACTTGCATGATCATGATTCTACAAAATTATTATTTTAAAATTAAAATAACTCATTCCCCTGTAAGACATGATTTTCTCAACCTTTATGAATGTATTAAATAAAATAACATATAAACAATTTAGATAACATCTGTGTAAGACAAATCATGTCCAAAGAGTAAAGTTTAGTCAAATACCGATATGTGTTAGTCAAATTGATCTCATTATTATATAATTTTATGTAGGCCCTATGTGTTAATCACTTTTGAATAACTCAATAACTGTTCATTATATTATTGATCTATCATAACCTTATGTATACTATATGCCTTGGTTTTGAATAAAATCTTGAAATCTTGAATTCCACAATAACTAACAGTGAAATATTGAATGCTATTAAAGGCTTTAGCAATAATAAAGCTTGTTCTTTACATGACAATATTATATATTGAATGAGTATATTAAGTACTCTAAAGATATAATATGCTGCCTGTTTTAAATAAATTGTTTAAAATCATTTTTGAATCAGCATGTGTGTTAAGGAGTTACATGTACTGCAGTATACATGTTTCCTATTTATAAAAAGGGTGATGTAAATAACCCAGCCATTACATAGGAATCACTATTTTAAGTTGTTTAGGGAAAATATTCACAATTATTCTTAATAACAGACTTAATACTTTTCTAGAAAATTCAGGTTGGTTTTCGTAAAGATTATAGAACTGTAGATTATAGATTAACTTTGAAATTGTTAGTTGATATTTACCTTAGTAAGAATAAGAAATTATATTGTGCATTTGTGGATTATAAAAAGCTTTCGATTCTGTAAATATAACTTTTTTTATGGATGAAACTTTTAAAGCACAATGTAGATGGTAAAATGCCAAGAGTAATTTATAGTATTTACAACATAGCTAAATCATGTGCAAAACGCACTTAGGGTTTATCAACTTATTTTACAAGTGCAACAGGTGTCCGTCAAGGTGAAAACCTATCACCTATTCTTTTTCCTATCTGGTTGAGCATATCTCAAATATGTATACATAATGGTTTAGATTTACTTTCACAGTCTGTTAACTTTGAATTGTTTTTACTGCTTTACGCTGATGATACTGTAATTTTTGCAGAATCTGCATTTGATTTTCAATTAGCACTATATAGATGCTATGTCTACTTATTGCGAGTTATGGAAACTTTAGGTAAATACAGCCTAAACTATAAAGTGGTGTTATTTTTGTAGAAATATAGGCCTACCCTCTTTTTACTTTAACAATGTCATACTTGATATTGTTGAGGATTTTAGCTACTTAGGTTTTAAGTTAAATTTGAATGGAAAGTTCAATAAAACTACTAAATACCTTTGTAACCAACCCTAAAAAGCTTTTTTTTGCTGTCCCAAAAAAACCCAAATTAATTTTATTACAAACGATGTTAAATTTTGGGCCCAAACAAAATGTATACACCCCCCCATAGATAGTTTATTTTAAAAGCTTTCCCAAGATTTTGATTTTGCCTAATACTGGAAAAACCCAATCGTTTCCCCTTTATTTTAAAAAATTTGTCAAATGTAAAGCAAAAGACCAATCGTTAAAAGCCGCAAAAATTTAAAAAATGGTCACTTACAAAATTTTTTAAAATTCCTCTTTTGAGTTAAAACCCCCTTTTTTAATTTTTTACGAAAAAAATTTTAAACCTATCGTTTGTGTATTTTAAAATTTTTAAACCATTTGGACAAAAATTTAAATACCCACCCTCTGCCCAAAAAAACCCCCTTTATTAGGTTTTGAGTTTCATTATATTTTTCAGTGTCCTCATTTTAACATTTATCGTAGAAAGTACTTGCCCATTAATTTACGAATAGGTAACGTGTTTAATTTTCATCAATTATTTAAAAGTACTGATAGAACTGTATTAGTCAAACTGTCTGTTTTTACACAAAGAATAATATCTTTTGTGAAATAATGTTTACCAACTTCAAGTGGGTCTCTGTCTTGAATTTCATTATTTTTTATCTATTTTTTATGCATTTTATTATTATTTTTTTTTCATTTTTAAGGCTTCAAATTTGCAATCCATATATGACACGCCTATTAAAGACAGGGATTTAAAATTGTTTACAGGCATGGTGTGGTTATAATGTGGGGCTTCATGGACCCCATTTCGTGTTATACCCCTTGACACCGCATCACTTCATTTGTGCTTTCGGTCAGGAAAATTTTCATAGTGCGGTTGCATTATTTTATTACGTTATTTATCTCGTTCTAGTCTCTCATCTCTATAAGTCATTCATAATTATCCTCTGTCTTATTTTTTTTTTATCATGCACATTATCTTTGTCTACCAAGCTTTTTTACACATTTGTGTTATTTTGTGGTTAATATTCTTTTTGTTTGTGAAATTTTTGCCTGTTACAAAAACTGAGCCCTTGGGGGCCCTAGTGAAAATAAAACTTGAAAACTTGTACAGGTCGGTTCAAACCAAAAGGTTTTTTATGAAATTTTACAAATTTATAATCTCGCCTACTTTTTTAAAAAATTTTTTAATCAAAAATTCAAGTTCATCCCCATATTTTGACTACTCAAAACCCTTTTTTTTTTTCAAAAAAAAAACCCTTTTTAACTTAAGCTCCCTTTTTGGGCAGCTCAAATTTATGATTCTTTCCAAAACCCCTGAAAAACCCTGCTATCATAAACAGTCCTTTTCTCCCTGGGTTCCCCTCCCAAAAAACTAGTCTTGGGGGATTTTTAAAAAATCCCAACGCAAAAAAAATAGAAAAAAACGAAATATTCCAAGCCTGGCAGGGGACCCTGGGGGCTTTTAATGAAAAATTATAAATAAAAAAAATTTGGGGCATTATCTTTGCGATGCAAAAATTTTTATGTCTCTTTGCAACGATTTATGGGGCCTAAACCAAATTTTTAAAAAACAGGAAGCCTGCAGGAATTCACTAGATTTTATCCCCATTTTTGTTTTTAATTTTATATCTTTGTAGTTATTACCCTTTTTATAAAAAAAAGTAAAGGGCGCCCATTTGGTTTGACCCGGCAATAAACCCCCACCCCCCCAAAATAAAATTCTGCCTAATACCTACACAATCCATTTGGAAACATTTTTAAAATAAAAACAAACCCAGGCTTTTTGCTGGAAACTCAAGCTCCATTTTGAAAACTGAAAAATTAGGGTTTCGGGACTCCAATTTGCGTCTTGTCACTGGAGCCCCAATTTTTAGTTTTGTTGCTGTTACTTTTTACCCATCTTTTTAAAAAGGGAGTGCCATCGACACTTCGATCCATTGTAATGAAAATAGGAATATTCATATAGTTCCTTAAAAACAAAATGCTCATTTTTTTAAATGTAATCGAGTCATCGGCAGTGAGCTGGCGCCCTCGAGAGTATAAAGAAGTCCTCGCTAATCTGATGGTGGCATGCAACACCATCATTCAATAAGTGTTTCATATCGGAATACTGATGAGAATATGTTTTTACGTGGCATAACATTCTCCGATTTTTGAAAACCAAGCATGTTCTTTAAAAACGGGTGTGTCACCAAAATGTGACAGTACGGGTGGGGACATGAAACAAATATTCACAAAAATATGAAGCACTGGTTAGTCCAACTAATGGTACTACGCGAGGAGATATTGTGCTATTTTTGTGTATGGGCAATATTTCCCCTCTACGAGGCGAGATTTTGACCCAGAACAAACATTATCTCAGAACGTACTTAGCTTTTAATATATATTGTCTAAAATATACTGACCTGAAGCTCTTTTGGAGTGAATATGTTTGTAATTGAATGAATAATTACGTTGATAATACATGCACATTTACACATAACAAATCTTGTAAGTGTGCATGTATTTATGGTGTCATATGTGGCTCAATATTAGCCCGATCATGCTGAAATTTTTAAATGATACAGATGAAAGAAATGATGTGATATTCCATTTATTTAATTTCAAATCAAACACATATTCAACGCATATGCTCAATAAATGCGAAAGTGCGTTGCAAAATGACGTTGAGGTTGAAAGTTAATCAAACTCCGCATATATGCCCATCACATACTGATAGCTTTGTTGCTAGGATGTGACATAATACATGTATTTTACTACTTTTTGGATAGATTTGACCACTGTTAAACTTCAAAACATATTTTATAAAAACCCGAAAATTTTAGATAGACTTTTTTTGGGAAAATCGTTTCCCTATACGGTTTTTTCGCCTCTCAAATTTTTACGACTGAGGTTTAAATTTTTCTGATAAATTTCTTTAAAAAAAACCCGCAAATGTTTCAAACTGCACCCCAAAGGGCCCACAGCAAGACAACACTTTCGCTGAAACCAAACTACCACAAAAATTCATTAACTTAAATTGGGTCGAAAAATAACTAGCGCAGAAAAGACCATTTTCCAAGGGTTTACAAATGTTAAAAAGTAGGAAAATTACTCACATTTTAAAATTTTTCAAATCAATACAACAAACCCGCATGTTGGGCAAAAACAGGGGGGAAAGGGGTTTTAAGAATAATCTTTACATCCATTTTTAACATTAAATTTACCTACCATCACTATATTTTCTGTAACACTTATTTTCGGGTGATCCGAAATGGATCGCAACATGTGAAACTGGATTTACCGCACAATTTTTATATCAATTTTTATTCATTCTGCACGATACATTTTGATTAGTTTGACCTACGTATTGCTTATTACAGCCTTTACATGTAATGAGGTAAATTACATAACGCGTACTACAGTTAACATCAGTGTGTAAATCAAAAGAACGACCTGTAATGCTGCTACCAACAATTATATTGTTACAATGTGAACATCTACTTCGTAAACATTGGCTAGATAAAAATGTGCGATCAAGTA